GGAGTTGACACTTGATCTGAATCTTGAAGGAGTTTGGGTGAAAGGGTGTTTCTGTACCCAGAGAACAGTGTGAGAGGAAAGCAAGAGTTGTTTCTGGAACTGTGAATAGTCCAATTTTATTGGAGCAAAGATCACGTGAAGGAGAGGAATAGAAGCTAAGGCTACAAATAGAAGTTGGCACCAAACTATATGGAAGGATTTGAATTCCAGGCTCAAAAATTTCTCTTTTATTTGGTAGGCAATAGAGAACCATTGGAGAGTTTTGAACAGAGAAGTGTTATTTGTGCATAAATAAATTTAATCTGGCAGTTTAGTCTGTATAAAAAAGGTAGATTGGAGATGCTTTTAAGTGGGCAATGAGCTGGAATGTGTCTAATTCAAGCAAAAGATAACAGGAGCTTAGTTCAGAGAAGGGGCAATTTGACTGATAATGAAGAGATGGATTTAAGTGACAAGTAGAACTGAAGAGTTGCCAACTGATTGGATACAGAGAAGAAGAGAAGGTGATATTCAGACTCAGAGGAGATCTTACAGGTCATCCAGTCCATCCTGCCTAGAAAAGAATCCTTTCTTTGACATACCTGATACATGATCAGCTAGCCTTTACTAGAAAATCTCCAATGAAGAGCAACTCCCGGATCCCCTAAAAGCCCCTTCTCCTTTTGAGTAGCTCTTATTGGTAGAAAGTTGACCATCTGAAGTCATTGTGTTCATTCTGTTCTACCAGACAACCTTTCAGATAATTGAAGAGAACTGTCCTGAAAAGACTGTTGGATCTTTTCTTCTCTTAGGCTAGACTTGGCTAGACTCCTTCAAGTCACCCTACTAGAGTTTGACCTTGATGCCCCTTACTGTTCTGATCTCCCTCCTCTGGATGTTCTGCTTTTTAATGCCTTTTTTTTTTTTTTAAAGATTTGACTCCCAAAATTGAATGTGATCTTGCAGATCTGGTCTGACTAGGCCAGACTATAAGAGGACTGTTCCTTTGTATATAATGCTTGTCAGTGCAGTTTAAAATTGCATTATCTTTTGGCTACCATATCATATGGTGAAATCATTGAGCTTGTAGTCCATTAAAATCCACAGATCTGTGCAAGGCAGAGCTGCATGATGGATCGAGTGCTGGACTTGGATTCTGGGAAACTTGTGTCCACATCCTGCCTCTCCTACTTCTTAGTTATGTAATCTAGAGCAAGTCATATAATCTCTCCGAAACTCACTTTCCTTATATTTTAAATGGGGGAGACAATATCTATCTGACATGTTTGTCATGAGAACAGGAAACATTTTCTTTTAAAGTTGAAAATAGTCAATAGTTAACAATTATTTATTAAGCACCTTCTTTATGCCAGATATTTTTCTCAGTACTGAGGATACAAAGAAAGGTATAAGATAGGGTGTGCCCTCAAGAAGCTCAAAATCTAATGGGAGAAGACAGCACATTTTAAAAAAAAGTTAAAAACCTGAGGTATGGGGGTAATACTGCAGCTGGAGTGGGAAATTATCTGAGGAGAGAATACCTTCCTTGAATGGTAGAGAACTAGGGAGAAGCTCTCCAATGTCCAGCCTCCACTCTCCCATCAGAGGCAGGGATGCTATGGAGGTGTGAGTTTCAAGAGTTGATTTTTTCTTGTAGAATGATGAGTTTCATGAGAGCATGAAGTCAGGAGGTCCGCCTGATGGGAAATGATGAAAATCTTTCTCTCTCATATCACTTCATTAGTGAGTCATTTCTTGTGTGGTATACAATTAAAATTTTTCCTTTGCTATTGTTCTAGCTGTCCCTGCAGGTCACATTTTTCAGAGTAATCCTTTCCTGATTTGTTTTCTTATCTTGCTGTGTAAGGATTTTGTTTTTTCTTTTTTCATTTTGGGTCTGAGATTATAGAATAGTCATTTTAAGAATATAATGACATTTTAATTCTTTTTTATCAGGACCCCAATGTTAAGATTTTTAATGTCTGAAACTGTTACTCAAATTTTAATTCAGTAGTTTTAGTTTGGAAAGAAATATTTCTCTTCTGTGGCATTATTTAAGTTAGTCACCTTGCCCAAACTAGTACTTTAATTAATTTTACTTATAAAATCATAGATTATGAATATTATAACTTACTAGGCATTGTGATTTTTTTGGGTCTAAACTGCATCACCTTTTTTTTTTTTTAAATCAGGCTTTGCATGTTCTCTTCCCCTCATCTTCCTACCCCATTCTCAAAGACAAAATAGTTATAGCAACAGAGACTCCATCATTCCTTTGAATGATTTTATCACCTAATGAGATTTCTTGGAAATATCTCAGTGTTTAGGCCAAATTTTCCGGTTCTGTTCTGTTGGATGACTTTTGGCCATTCTTACCAAGATGTATTGTAAGTATTAATAGACTATCCTAACATAACCCTTGCCTTTGGCAAAGAGTGTATTTTAGTTTTCCATTCTTTGCTATAATAGAACTCTTACCAAGTTATTAAAGGAACATTATTGGACTTGTTTTCAGTTTACCCAGGAGTATTCTGTTTCAAAGTGAGAACTGTCATATTTGTGTGTGTCTGCTATAGTTAGTGTAGTTATTTAATATTTTATATAATTTTGTTTGTATAATTACTCCTTTTTTCTTGAAATATGAAAATAAAAATGTTTTGATAGTAAGAATTTGAATCTGTAGACAGTTTAAAGAAAAAATGAGCAATTGCCTTTTTTTGGCTTGCAAAAAATGGAATAGCAAAATTAAGTTGAAAAAATAGGAGGTAAAGGTCTTCTAAAAATTTTTTTAAGGGATTTAGGATTGAGGATATTCTAAAATTAAGCCTTACTGTGGAAAATAGGGTATAACCAAAATAAAATGTTTAGTTTTCCTAGTAAGTCTATCCATGATTCCATTGTGAGTCTGACACACAAATTACATTTAAAAAAATTTTTACTTCAGTATCAGTATGAGAATTGCTTGGTTTATTTGCACAGTGTGCTTCACATAAAGACATAATTTTTTTTAATTAAATTTTTTTTTTACTGTTTTAAATTTGGCATCCTTTTTTTTTTTTTTTTTTTTGCATTTTGGTGAGGCAGTTGGAGTTAAGTGACTTGCCCAGGGTCATACAGCTAGTAAGTGTTAAGTGTCTGAGGCTGGATGTGAACTCAGGTCCTCCTTGGCATCTATTTTCATTGAAGTGTAGGGGAGGCTTACCAGAGGTTTAACTGATCTGCTGTAAAACTATGAACCACTCCATTATTGTGTAGGCAATACACTTTGGGGTCATGGACTGTCTTACTAATTGCTGACATAGTTTATATTTTGAACTGGAAGTAACTTTAGAGGCCAATCTAGGCCAACCCCCTCTCCTTTTACAGATGAGTAAACTGAGGTCAAGAAAGGGTGAGTGATTTGCTTAAAGTAAAACAGGTAATAAGTAGCAAGGCTGGAATTCAGTTTCAGGTTCTTTAACTCCCAAATTCCATTATGTTATTTATATAGCACTGTGGTTTTTTGTTTATTGTGTTTCCAGTGCCTTATACGTGGTAGACTCTCAATAAATATTAATGAATAGATAAAAAAAGTCTTTACTAAGCACTTACTATGTGCCAAACACTGTGCTAAATGCTAGTGACAATAAACAGAAAAAAACAAGACAATCTCTTCTCTCAAGGAACTCATACTCAAAATGAAGGGAATGGCATGTACAAGAGAGTTCACTTGCATGGTGGGGAGAAAGGCTGAGAAGTCTGAAAAATGCTACTGTCCTAAAGGAGGGATGGCAAGCTCTAGGGATGTGTAGGTTACATCAGCAGGGCAGATCAGATGGATGGCAGTGCCTCAAAGCCTGGCAGGCATAGCAGTGGGGCAGATGGTAAGGCCCAGAAGGCCTTGAATACACAATGCAGAACAGATGGTCCAGCTATGTGGTCTTCCATCTTATTGGACGACTTCTAGTTGGTGACTCCAAGTTCATCCAAGCAATGTAAATAAACATGTTGCTTTGCTTCCCTCTGCCCCCATGAGGTCTGGTCACTGGGGGTTTGAGGAGTGGGGGAAGAGAAGAGAGAAGGCTGTCCTTGTTTGTGGCTCTTAAAGATGATCAATTCTTATTTATGATTTTTTTGTATCCACAGTATGAGGTAAATTATCAATAAATATTTATGATGATGAATAAATTACTAATTGCAATCACTAAATGACAATAGTAAGTGTAGTGGAAACTCAGGTGAAAACTTCCCCTCTCCATTGACCTTCAAGGGGGTGGCATGAAGGGAAGTATGCATTTTCAAACTTTGCATTTCTAACATTTCTGAAGCTGCTTTAAAAAATTCTACCCTTTGTCTCCCCTAAAGATTGTGGTACTTGGGAAAAAATATGGGGAAATGAAAAGATTTTTTATGCAACTATTTTTCCTAGCCTAACTTTTTTTTTGTGTAGAAAATAAGTCGGGTAGAGCATATTCATATTGATGAAGAATTCTTAAAGTACCATTTGTTTCAGCTGTTCATAGGATTTGTTTAGAGCTAGAAAGGATCTCAGTGATCATTTAGTCAAAAATCTTTAAAGATGGTGTAAATGAGGCCCAGAAGAATTTGTCCACAGTCACACAGACAATAAAATGCAGAGGTATGATTCACACCCAGGGCCTCTGACTTCAAATCCAGCTCTCTTTCCACTGTACCCCACTAACCTCATGTTATATTTGCTGATTATTTAGAAGGAGAGCTTCTTTTTAAAAAATTGTCATACTACCCTGTAAGCTAACATATTCTTTTTTCATGCTCTATGCTAGAATATTTCTATTTTAATCTTAATTTTAAAATGAGATGTAGAAATAGTTGGCAAAGATCAGAGTAGCCATGCTTGTGAACCAAGTTCTTTTGTTTCAATTTAAAGTTTGTTTTAATTCTTTATCTTTTTCTGCTTTTTTTTTGAAGAATATTATAAATGAAAAGTGTGATAAAGCTCCTCAGTTTTCGAGGATAATAGCACTGTATAAATACCAGGTGGTGGTATTTTTCTTTTTCAGATCTCCCATGGTGGCTTATCTTAATTCGTCAGAAAGCCTTGATAGGCAAACTTCCTGGAGACCATGAGGTCTGCAAAATTACCAAAATTGCTGTATTATCACTTTCTGAAATGGAACCTCAAGATCTTGAGCTGGAGGTAAGATCAAACCTTGAAGGGGGAGGGGTTGGATTTTTAGTTTGATTATAATTAGCTAAATGCAATAACACAAAATTGGTGTTGGTTACAACTAACAAAAATCAGACTCTAAACTGGAAGGGAAAAAAATTTAGTTTTTCTTACCTCTCTACAGACTCCGTATTCAAAAGAGAGCAGCATAACAATCCATAGAGGGGAAAATCATAAAAAATGGTAATTGTCTAATTATCAGTCCATTTATTTATTTTCTTAGTTCTTATACTAAGAAACTATTGTTTCTATGTGGTAAGGTGGGTCTAGAATTGAATATGAGCAAGAGAGCTGTCTGGAATTTGTTTGGGAAATTATGCAGTACTTTACCAGACTGTTCCCTGTGACACAGTAGTCTCTTTTGCAATACTGTATAGTTGTGAATACTGAACACAACAATTTCTGAAGAATCTTAATTGAAGATGCCCCAAAAGACGGTGGAGAAGTGTGTGGTGGTTGTAAGTAGCCTATAATATGTTTCCAGTGATGAACTGTATTCAATAAATTATGTAAGGGCACTCATCTAGGAACTCTCTGTAAGAGAACAGCTGGAAAACTTTATCCTCTAACATTTTGGGTAGATACAAGGCATGAATGGATTGTGATTTGCATTGATGGTGGAAAAGAGTAGTTTCTAAGGTGTGAGTTGGGAACAGGGCTAACTTTATAAAAGAAGTTAAGAAACAAACCAAGCTTGATAAAGCTTACATGTTTCAGGCTCAACTCCAAAGTCTTCAGTATCTTACTAATAAAACAACTTTTAATTTAAATGGGAGCAACCTAAGAGGGCTTCTGTTTCTACTGTTAACAACAGGAATGGAAACAAAACTTATTTCTTATTCTTCTGTGTTACCAGAATTTGGTGTTACTGACCATAAGGCAAATTACCTAAGTAATCATAAGACAGAGCTATTCAATCCAATGTTCTCATGACACAGCTTGAATTTTTTTATCTTTAGTTGAAGGGTCTCTGGAAGGAAACACCAGGGTTTGGGATTCTGACCTGAAAATATGGCTTGAGCTTGAATATGCTGGGGTTGAGACCCAATCCTGTCATTGTCTTCCACCACTGGTAAATGATAACTTCTGAATGAATCTCAAAGCTTTAATAAGTCATTCTTCAGGTCTGCTAATGCTGATGTCCTTCATTCTGTTTTTTCTGGGAGAAGGGAGTGTCCTTCGTTGTTATAGCCATGGTTTCCTCTGAAGTGCGTAGGAGTTCCTAGGTAGGGTGAAATGGGATTGAGAAGAGTGTGTTGACTGTGACTGTGAGTGACTGTGACTTTTTCAGCATCCCACTGTTTGGAGGCTTTAGAAGTAGCTATTTACCAGGAAGAGCTTGCAAGCTTCGACTTTTACCTTCTTCATCAGGTTTCTTGACAACTTACTAGCCACAAACCTGACACCTTTTTGAGCCTCCCATCTGACCATTATTCAAAGCACAAGGCAAGACAAAAATTTGTTGTAAGGAAATTTTTTTAAATTTCAAAAACAAATACTGTAAAAGGTTTGAATATTCCTTTTGTTTTTTTTTTTTTCTTAAGGAGGAAGGTACTTCATTGCCATCTCCCAGCTAGTTAAGTGGAAAAGATATTGTTTTCAAGTACAGATTAGAAAGTATTTTTTTCCAAGCAACTCTGTGCAGTATCCTTTACAGTAAATAGTGTTATCAGGCTTCTGAAGATTATGGTGTTTGTTAATGGAGTTTAAGAAGCTACCACAGATAACTCTTAATTATCCATACTAATAGAGGACAAAGAGTAACACAGATAAAGTAAATATCTCCACTTCCCATTTTAATAAGTAACTTTATACCTTTTCTAACCAGATCACTTTAAAAGACATTTTAATGATTTAAAAATAGACAGATTTTAGTTTCAGCCTTGTGACTCTCCCCCCCACACTATTTTTTGTAGCAGTGCTTAAGAAAAGAAGCTAATGGATTGGATAATGAACCCCCAAGTAATCAAGGATCAATTATTTTACAATATCAAGATTTAAATCTTTGATATCTTCTTCTAGGTTTCCATGGAGATATTATTAAAAGCATGTGTACCATAAAACAAATAATTTAAGTAATCCTCACACAGGGCTATTCCGTCCAATGTTTTCATGACACAGTTTGAAAGGGTCTTTTAGAAATGTTCCGGGGATATTTCACTTTCATATTCTTGAGTCTATGTTCTTTGTAATGACTTGACCAATAATGTAATGACCAATAATTATGATGACTTGAGTGCTTTTGAGGAAAGAAATTGTGGCAATCTAATTTTTGTTTTCTCCAGACCTGTGATTTCAGCAGTTTAGGGAGCACCTGATGAGGAAATTCTCCTTGCCAATGTAGAGTGGCCACTTTTCTGTACCTTATAGTCTTCAAGAGCTTCTGGGATACTGGGAAATTGAGCAGCTTGCCCAGGGTTCCGTGATGACGGTGGATCAGAGGCAGGGTCAGAACACAGGTGGTCCTGACTCCTGGGCAGGCCTTCTGTTAACCATGCCAAGTTGCAGCTAGACATTTAATTTAAAATTCAGTAAGCTGTAATATTATAAATTGATTAGTTTGATTCTTTTTTTCCCCTCTACTAATCTTGCTTTTATTCTCTTTATTTTATTTTTGGTGCATATACATTAACCACCCTTATCTCTAAGAAAACCTTAACTATGAAAGTTACTCTACTATACCTTTGGAGTTCCCTTTTTTCTTTATATTAACTAGCATCTAATAAGTGCCTACTGTGTGTCAGGCACTGTGCTAAGAGCTGGGGAGACAAGGAAAGGCAAAAACACAGTCGGTACTCTCCAGGAGTTCACAGTCGAATGGGGGAGACAGCATGCAGACTACACAAACAAGCATATCCAGGTTACATTGGGAGTTGTCTCAGATGGAAGGCACAAAGATTAAGCAGGACTAGGAGAGGCTTCTTGCAGATGGGACTTGAGCTGAGGCCTGGAGGAAACCAGGGAAGCTGGGAAGTGGAGGTTAGGAGGGAGAGAGTGTTTTAGGCATGGGGGACATGTTGCCAGCAAGGACTGTTGGAGTGAAGCACAGTAAGGAGGGCAGTGCCATTGATCATGCAGTACATAGAGGGGAGTAAAGTGTACAAAGACTGGAAAGGCAGGGATGGACCAGATTATGAAGGGTTTTAAAAGCTGAGCAGAAGACATAATATTTGATATGGAGGTGATAGGGAGCCACTGGAGTTTTTTGACTGAAGGGGTGACACGGTCAGACCTGTGCTTTTGGAAGATCACTTTGATAGATGAGTTGAAGCTGGACTGGAGGATGGAGAGGCTTGAGGCACGCAGATCCAGCAGCGTTAGGTGTGACTATTATACTCACATCTTCTTTTCTTCTTTATCCAGGATGCTTCACCAGTTCTTTGCTTTGCTTTCCATCTTTGTCTATCTTCAAACCTATTTTTATCCTCAGAGTTAAAGCAGTAGCAAGTCTATTTCCATATTTTGACTCTTGTGAAAATATTTAGTGTTATCATTTAGTTGCCTACCCTTTGCCCACTATGTTGGGCTGTTAGTCTGTGTGTTTTCATTTTTTTTCCCTCTGCAATTTTTATTCTCTCTAAGTTGAAATAAAGAATCTGTAGTGATAGTAGAAATGGGAGCACAGATGTTCTCACTGTTTAGAACAGTTCTTTAAAGTTTTATAGGCTTATATTCAACTTCTGCGTATCTTGTTTGCTGTATCCCATTGCTTTAATAGATAGCAAGCATCATTTTCCTTATTTGGTTTCCCATCAGACATCCATTTTAAAATTCTAGCTTTACATAGATAAAGATACATGTTATCTTTAAGGTAAAGGTTTTTTTTTTTAAACAAGGAAAATTATTGGTTCTTAATCTTGGTTATAGAACTATAGATCTAAGGTTAATAGTACATAGTTTTCTTTGTTCTCCTTTTCTTTTTGAGAGGTGCGTGTATGAAAGCTATAATGAGAAGCTAAGCGTGCTCCATACAGAATTGGCGCAGCTTCTGGAAAAGGGAATTTGATCTTACATAAATGTCATAGGTTAAAGGATTTTACTGTCTACTATGTATTGTGCTAAAGACTTTACAAATATTATACCATTTTATCCTCACAACAACCCTTGTTTTGAGGGAGGTGCTATTACCCCCTTTTCACAGTTTCATTTATGATTTCTTGAAATAGAGTTTTAGGAAACCAGGCTTTGATAAAGTCCATTGGGATTCAAATAGAGCTACTTGACCATGCCTTAAACCCAGATCACTCTGGCTGTCCCTGATTGGCCAATAATAGGTCCCAGCCCAAGCCTCATTTGGTCTTTGGGTTTTGGTGGTTCGGAGTGTAAATAGCAGGCATAGTTTCTGTTTTGGCCAGAAACTCTAAAGATCTTCCCCTCCTAGTTTGTTTGTTTGTTTGTTTTTTTAGGCAATTGGGTTTAAGTGACTTGCTCAAGGTCATACATAGTAAGTGTCAAGTGATGGTCCAGGGTCAGATTTGAACTCAGGTCGTCCTGACTTCAGGGCCAGTGCTCTATCCACTGCGCCACCTAGCTGCCCCAAGTTTTTTGTTTTTTTGAGTAGACTAACTAGGCTATATTTTCCTTCATTTTTATCTAGCGTTTAAACATTGAATGGGCATTGCCTCAGGCAAACTGAGACCTTAACTTAAAAAAGACCAGGGTTACCCCGCTGCTTCCAGAGCCATCTCCAATCATCCTGATCTGTATCTTGCCACTGGACCCCGATAGTTCCGAAGGAGAAAGTGAGGCTGGTGACTTTGAACAGCCCTCCCTTACTTAAATCCAATTACTTGCAATTCATGGCATCACCTTCCTGATGTCAGAGTCCTCTTTGAGAATGAGGACAAACAAGCAAGCACCTACTATGTGCCAGGCACTGTGCTGTGCTTTTTTTACAATTACTATCTCATTTGATCTGTGCAACCTTGTGACATAGATTGTTTATATCCCTTTTATAGTTGAGGGAGCTGAAGCAGACAAAGATTAAATGACTTGCCCGGGGTTACAAAGCTAATAAGTGTTCGAAGGTGGATTTGAACTCAAGTATTCCTGATTCCAGGGAGAGTGCTCTATCCACTGTACCACCTAGCTGTCATATCATCAAGATCATCTTTTTTATCTTTTGTAATTGCCTTTATCTTTTACTTGATAAAGAATATATCTCCTACCTATAGTTATGAAAAGTATATGATCTATTTGTCTTCTAGCATCACTCTTTTTTAAACTGACATCGCATTCTTTAACAAAAACAGGTACAAAACTAGGGGGTATCTAGAAATAGTCACTTGGACTAGTTTTGTTTGATATGGTATTTGAAAGACTAGCAACTGCAGTAAGTCAGGAAAAAGATAACAGCTAGGCTAACATTGATTGTAAAGGGGCCATTAAGTTATTATGTGCAGATGACATCAAAAAGCATTTTTAAAAGAACTGCTTATGTGCAGAGCAAGCTGGGGTATACAGAGACAAAAATGAAACAACTTTTGCCCTCAAGAAGCTTACGTTGTGTCGATCCTCAAAATCTAGCTGGCTCAATAATAAAAATGAAACAAATGAGTTCAGTAATCATTCAGTCAATAAGTTTTTATTAAGCACTTACAGTGTACTAGATAGTATGTTGGGTGCTGGGGATATAAGCACAAAAAATGAATCTATCCCTACTCAGAATGAGCTTATTATGTTAGAATGGGAACAACAATAAGTACACATAAAAGTATATGCAAGATTAATAGAAATACAAATATATACACACATGTATATATGTATATATGTATATATACATATATACATACACATATACGTGTAATTTAGAAGATTTTTGCAATAATCAAGGTGAAATGGAATGAGAGCTTGAACTAGGCTGGTAGCTGTGTGAGTAGAGAGAAGGGATTATATCTGAGAGATGTTGTAAAGGTATAAATAACTATTTGGCAACTGATAGGCTATGTGGAGTAAGGGAGCTCATGTTTTTCCATACTGGTGGATGAATAAAATATTTTTTTTTAAAATAAGAAACTCCATTTACAATGATGAAATGGTGAAATATCTGAGAATTAATTTACTTAGACATTTGTGTGATTTTTTTAAATAGATAAAACTGCTAGTGGCTGTAGGCTTTACTAATAAAGGGAATACCTATATTAATGACATTATGGATCTAGTGAAATTGAAATATATTCACTAATGAAGTTAGTTTATTTGTTTTTTTAGTTTAGTAATTGCCACATTTCAAAATCTGTGTCCCATTTGACTTATAAAAGGTAGTACTGGTTCTATTTATCTATAAATCTATATGACATAGAGGTTATTCTTTGAAGATTTGAAAACACCTGTGAATCTTACTGAACTATATATGTGTATATGTGCATAAGCACTTACATCAATGCATACATGCCTGCAGGCATAGGTATTAAATCTTTGAGGTTAGACCAGTTTTCCTTCCTTTCTACAACATTGAATGCTTTGAATTAGCCTTTAAGCAAAATGCAGAAGCATCAACATTCATCTTTCTTCTTATACTGTAACTCTTGGTTTAACCATTTATCATAAGTAATGAATTTTATTTTTAATCATTCAGCTGTGTAAGAAGCACCATTTTGGAATTAACAAGCCAGAGAAGATTACACAATCTCCTGATGACTCAAAGTTTCTACTTAAGACCTTTACTCATATTAAATCAAATGTATCTGTTCCCAATAAAAAGAAGGTAAGGAATTGCCTTAATTTGTTTAGAATTTGAAAGTAGTTTTGATTTGATTCATATTATAAGGTAATTTAATCTAGTAATAAAATTGTGTTCAAAAATAGATTTGCTTTATTTTAAAATTTTTTATAATTCTTTACTATAAGTAGGATAGGGACTGGACCTATGGTTTTATTGGTATAGGGAACTTCCACATGAGGAAATTTACCTTTTCCAATGCAGATCGACATTTTCTTGCAACCTATAAAGACTTAGAGAATTGTCTGGAGCACTGAGAGGTTATGTGATCACCCTGCAAGTATGTGTCAAAGGCAGTAATTGGCCTTGGGTCTTTCTGGTTCCATGGCCACCTCTCATCTCCTATGCCAGGCTGCCTCTTTTGTTTTTTTTTCCTGGTTTTTTGTTTTTCAGACTACAAATGCGGAATTTAAATTCTACTTCCTTTTACTTTATAGGTGAAGGAGAGTAAAGAGAAGGAGAAGTTAGAAAGGAGATTACTGGAAGAGTTGTTAAAAATGTTCATGGATTCAGAATCCTTTTATTATAGCTTAACTTACGACTTGACCAACTCAGTGCAAAGGCAGAGTGTTTGTGAGAACAAAAACTTACCACTCTGGCAAAATGTAAGTACCCACTCCTGATTATAACAACAAAAACAACAATAATAATAATTGATATTGTATAGTGCCTGAAGGTTTACAGAATTTTTCTTTCTGGTATCTTAATGGATCCTAATAAGAACACTGTGAGCTATGTGCCACAAGTAACAGTATCTTCGTATATACACATTCACTCAGCTAATCATGAACAGAGTTGGAATTTGGAACCAGAACTTTCCTGATTCCACTTCTAGAGTTCTTTCCATTATATCAAGGATATGTTTTAAAATTGTATCAGCTATTTTGATTGTATTTGTATCATATTTTGATTACATTACAATTATATCAGCTTTGTGAGATTGTCTTATCTTTGTACAAGAAACTGAAGATAAGCGATCCCTGAACTTTTTTTTTTTCTTTATGCTTTTTCCAGGTTGATGAGAGATTTTTTTGGAATAGATACATGATAAAAGATCTAATCGAGATTGGTGTGAGTAATTATCTCCTAAAAAGGCTCTGTTATTCCTAGAACTAATGTGGAAATACTTTTTTTTTGGGGGGGGTCCTCTTTATAGTGCTGCCATTATACCTCTTGAAGCACTCTGGGATGCTCTCAAAATGTTTGATTGTGAAAATAGCAAGAAGACTTTGCTATAATATACCCATAAGAGTCCTCATGGCATGAAGTCAAAGGAGCCGGTGTAATATGAATATTTGCGAGCTGTGTGGGATGAGGGATCACACAGTTGTTGGAAAAAATATTTATTGTTTTGTGTAAAGTAGAAACGCTGAGCCTGGTTTTTCTTTTGTAAGGAAAAGCATGCAGCTGGATCACGTGCTCTTTTAAAAAGGTCCTTTCTAGATCAGTGCTTCTATTCTTTTCCTCATGTTCTGTCTAAAACCTGAAAAAGAACTCCTTGGAACTATAGGACAATGGTGAACTTCCAAGAAGGGAAAACAGCTTCTTACTATTGTGCAGATTTAGTTTTTGTTTGTTTAAATCATTGTTATGAAATCAGAATCCAGATGAGAAAAGTAAATGATATATGATAATAAGTAATATAGAATAAAAGATGCAGTTGATTTCCTGGAATAATTATAAATCCCAGATTATCTTTTCTTGATATGTTTCTTAGATTTCATGCAAATTTTTCTTATACCTAATTAAGTTGATCAAAAATTTAAACCCCTACTTCAGCAATATCCAGTAAATTCCAGAATGTTTCCTTTGGACATACATAATATATCTGTCCATATACAGCCAGTTTTCCTATCCCTTTAACATCTGTAGTAATAATAATAATAATAGCTAACATAGCACCTTAATGTTTGCAGAGCCATTTACATATATTACCTCATTTCATTCTTACAACAACCCTGAGAAGTAAATGCTATTATTATGCCCTTTTACAGCTGAGAAAACAGTCTGAAAGTGAGTCACACAACTAGTAAGTGTCTTGGGGCATGATATGAACCCAGGTCTTCTTGGCACCAATTCCAGTGCTCTCTCTACTATGCCATGCTGCTTCCCCAGTGTTTACGGTAACTCCATCAGGATCATTAGTATCCTTATTACAGAAAGTTTATAGTCTGTATATCATATTCATTAAGGTCAAAATTAGATAAATACATTCCAATTTTAGCAGTAAGAGTGAGGGAGTAGGATGAAGGGATTGGGAATTTTCATTCTCTTAAATATAAAATTCTTTGAACAAAAACATGTCATTATCCATCCATTTTGGTTAATTGAGATTTTATAGTATTTAGGCAATGGAGGTAAGATTGCTTTATTTTAATGAAATATAATATCTTAATGAATGATGTCATGTTTAAGTCTAAAAAGAATGATATGAAATTAATGCTAAAATGTTTTAGGAATGAAAAATATGGAAACATTTACTTGGTTTCAGAAATAATTATTGAATGTTATGATCAAGTCAGTATTGAACTCTTTCTATATGTGTTTTAAGCTTTTTGGTCTTTTTTTTGGGTGGGGGGAGGTATTCTCATTTTACCTTTGCACCATTCCCAACTGGTTAGCAATGTATTTTAATTTTTTTAATGTTTTCTTTTTTTTTTTAAATTAAATCCTACCACTCTCTCCCACCCAATTTTTCAAGCATATGTTTTTTCTCTCTTTCTGTCTTTCTATTCTTTGTAGACTTTATTCCACCCGCATACTTTGATCCAGTGACATTGGCCTCCTTAATTTTTCTTGCATGAGACACTCCATCTCTGACTCTGAGTATTTTCACTGGCTGTCCCCCAGGCCCAGAATTCTTTTCTTCTTCAACTCCGCCTCCTGGCTTCCCTGGTTTCTTTTGAGTCTCAGCTGAAGTTCCACCTTCTAGAAGTCCTTTTCCTAGTCCTCCTTAATCTTAATGCCTTCTTTGATATCTCCAATTTACCCTGTATAGATCTTCTTTATATGTAGTTGTTTTCAGGTTTTCTGCTCCATTAGACTGTGAGCTCCTTGAGAGCCAGGGACTGGTTTTACCTTTCTTGTATCCCTAGCGCTTAGCATAGTGCCTGGCACTTAAATGCTTCTTGATTGACCACTTTCTACCTCCCTGGGGAAAAAAAAAAGAAAAAGAAAACTATGTAACAAGTAGGTATAGTCAAACAAAACAAATTTTCATATTACCTGTATATAAAAATGTGTCTCATTTTACATTTTTGTCCACTCCTTGGTCAGTAAGTAGTGGGTAGCATTCTTATCATCAATCCCAAAATCATGTTTAGTCATTATGTTTGTTGTTGATAAGAGTTCCTAAGTGTTACAAAATTGTTCGCTTTTACAATGTTGTCATAATATAAATCATTCTCCTGGTTCTGCTCACTTCATTCTACAACAGTTAATTTATTATAGTCTTTACAGGTTTCTCTGAAACTTTCCCCTTCAATCATTTCTTACAGCACAATTTTATTCCACTACATTTATAATTTATTCAGCTATTTCTCACTTGATGAGCATCCCCTTAGTTTCTAGTTCTTGACTACTACAAAAAAGTTGCTCTAAGTATTTTTGTATACATAGGACATTTTGTCTTCCTTTAATCTCCTTGGGGGTCTGCTGGCTAGTGATATAGTTAGGTCAAAGAGTAGGCCTAGTTCCAGAATGAGTCTGTTTATTACCAGGTTCTGTCAGTATATCTACTTAATTTATCTTTTACAAGATATGAATTGTACTAGTCACCCCTTGTTATGTACAATGTATTTGGATATAGTGTAGGTCAAATCACGTATTTGACCCTCCCAAACAACATGGGGACTGATACTGAGGAAGCAATTATAAAAAGGTTCTAGTATATTTTGATAACTAGGATAGGGCCTAGACTTGTGATTTCATTATATTAGAGACCTACCAGATAAGGAAATTCCCTCTACCAATGCAGGTTGGTACCTTCTCTGCCATGTGTAGTCTTATACTTAGGCCACCAAGAGGTTGAGTGAGTTGCCAAGGGTTACATATAAAATCAGTGAGTGTCAGAGGCAGGGTTTGAACCAAGACTTCTGACTCAAGGAGAGTTTTTTACTGTGCCACACTGCCTATGATAAAAAGCTAGTAAGATATTTTTGTGTTTCCATTTGAATTGTTTTTTAATCAAGTGTTAAAGCTGGTAATATTGTTGATTTTTGTACTTGTAAAAGGTATGTGTCAGTGGCTAGACTAAGGAGAAAAATACCAGTGGCAGTGACAAGAGCAGTGATTGTGAACTTTTTAAATGACTTGTCCATGGTACTCTGCCCAACTAGTTACTGAAGTTCTTCCTGCTATTTAATATGATTATATATACATATATATATGTGTGTGTGTATATATGTGTGTGTATGTGTATATACGTATATATACACACATATATAATTTAATATGATCTCAGTGCTGGTAGAGAGGTAATATCAGAGCTGGTACTGGGATTCTGTTAGAAGCAAGCGTAGAGCATCATAAATAGGATTGGAGTGAAGGACAATAGACTTAAGAACAAGTCTCTAGAGGACATTCAAAGAACTTTGTTGTTAACAACTACTAGCATTTATACAGTGCTTTAAGGTTTACAAAGCACTTTACAAATATCTCATTTAATTCTCACAAGTAGGAGGTAGGATCTTTATTTTCCCTGTTTTATAGATGATGAAACTGAGGCAGACAGTACTTGCCCAGGGTCACACATGGTTCATAAATGTCTGAAGCAGGATTTAAATTATGGTCTTTCTGACTCCAAATCTGGTACTGTGTTCATTGTGCCACTTAGCTGTCCTCTATTATGTATTTATTCCACTCAGTTATTAAATCTGAATGTTTTCTATGCAATGTCCACTAAGGAGAAATTTCCTTTAAGTTCAATCAGTTCTTCTAATTATTTTAACTATTTAAGGAAAAGTCAGATTTCTGGTTGTTCACTGCTTGAACCATTTAAATAAGAGAGCATTCTTTGTTCTTTCAAAGGTGTGAAGTTCAAACCTTTTCAAAACTAATAATGAATGTGTTGAACTTGTATGTTTTATTTAAAAAATTGTGAAACTAACAGATTTTTGCAGAGTTGGCTCAAAATTTCACTGAAGCTTTAGGAAATGTTAGAATTCTAAAATCTTGGTTTAAGTTACTTGTTCTCTATACAGTAATCAGCTATTAAAAATAGAGGAGCAGCTAGGAGGTACAGCTCTGGCCTTGGAGTCAGGAGAACCTGAGTTCAAATCTGGCCTCAGACACTTGACACTTACTAGCTGTGTGACCCTGGGCAACTCACTTAACCCCATTGCCTAGCCAAAAAAAGAAAGAGAAGGAGGAGGAGAAGGAAAAGAAGAAGAAGAATGCCATCTTTAACTGGAGCATTGTCATAATTTCACAAAAAAAAAAAACCAGGAAAAGAAAACTCCACAATTGAATCATTTAGCCTCTCAGTGACCTAATACAACTCTCTAAGACTAAGTTGTAGAACAATTGCTGATCTGAATTGATCAAGGGAGTTTCCCTACTAGAGGAGAATTTAAAAAAAATTAAATATGTCCAACTCTTTCTCATTCCTACTCCCCAAACAAAAAACGTCATGATTGAGGAGTAGAGTTTTTCTTAATCCCTCTGCAGCCTTTGGCACTCTTGACTATGGATACTCTCTTTTCGGATACTCTGTTCTTTCTAGCCCTTGTGAAGCTAGCAGCTCCTGGTTCTCTTCTAACCAGATGACTGTTTCTTTTTACTTCCCTTTGTGCGGTTATCATACATGTCCCACCTCCTGACCTATAAGTGTCCTGGGTCTTCTTTTTACATTTACCTCTCTTGGTTTCAATAATTTCTATTTCAGATGACTCCCAAATTTATACATTCAAACCTTATCTTTCTTCACAGCATTGCCATCTGCCTTTCTTACATTTCTACTGGGATTGCTCATCAGCATCTCAGACTCAACACATATCACATGAATGTATGGAAGGATTGGCTGTTCCTCTTGACTTTTTGCTCTCTCTAATCTTCCATAGCCAATCAGTTATCAGTTTGCTACCTGTCCCTGTCACATCTCTTATGTCTGTTCTTTTCTCTCTACTCATGTGGCCACCACCCCATTTCAGACTCAAACCATCTACTGTCTGGACTATTAGTCTCATTACCTTTAGCTTTTTCCATTTCTGTTCCAATCACAGCACAATTGCCCAAATAGTCTTCCTAAAACATGAGTCTGACCACGGTATTCCCTTATTCAGAAAGCTTCTGTGACTCTGTGTCGCCTGTAAAATACCATCTCCTAGCTTAGCATTTAACATCTTGCACAATATGGTCTAGCTGTTCTTTCCAGACATATTTCCTGTTCACTTCCATCCTTTCCAGGTTCTTATCAAATTGGCCTCCTTAATGTTTTCTGAATTGGATATTTCCTCTCTTGCTGTTTTGTCTTTGCTTAGAATGCACTCCTTCCTCACTGCTGCCTCTCAGAATCATTAGCTTCCTTTAAGGCTTAACTCATGTGCTTCTATAGAAAGCTTTTCTTGAGTTTTCTCATTGGTAGTAATTTCTTCCTTAAGTCATCTTGTTTTTACTTACCTGGTTACATATTGTCCCTCCTAGTAGAATATAAGTTTCTTGAATATTTTCCATATTTGTTTTAGTATACTCAGTATCTAGCATATATAGAAGGTACTCTGTGTGTGTGTGTGTGTGTGTATGTGTGTATGTATAAATGGAAGGCTTCTGCTGAACAACTCAGAATAAAAGAAAACAATTACAACTGGATATGGTTTTGATTTCAGTATAGCTTGATTTGCATAGGATAGAAATAGGATATTATTATTTTTTGCAGACTTCTGAAGTGGATTTTTGGATTATCCCAGTCATCCAAGGTTTTGTGCAGATTGAAGAACTTGTGGTTAACTATAATGAATCATCTGATGAGGAGAAAAGCAGCCCAGATACTCCTCCTCAAGAGTCCTCTTGTGTAGATGATATTTATCCCCGATTTCTTGTGGCTCTCATTTCACGCCGAAGCAGGCATAGAGCTGGTAAGCACATAGGCTCCTGAAATACTAAACATATCAGGGTGATCCTAAAAAGTTAAAAGAGCAAAGGACAAGACTAGAACTGGTGCATAGAAGATCTTCAATGTATTGGTTCCGTAATACATCAAGGCTGGAAATATTATCCTTTGCTTAAAAGCACTGCTAAACTTTACTGTGATAGAGAAATGGTCTTATTGGAAGGGATGCTTACATGTGCTTAGAGTTCCATATGTTTGACTGAAACTAAGGAATAAGTATGGTTTGGTGAGAGGGGAATATTAGAAGGAGAAAAAAGAAAGGAAGGAAGGTATATTTTTAATGAAAATTTTATAGTAGTAAGTTAAAAGATGTGACTAATGGCTTTATCATTTGCAGACAAGCAAATAAGTAAATTGCAGTAAAGTAAATTAGTATGTATTTGCTAAACAAATGCTAGTGCTTCTAAGCAGTCAATTATGCTTTGATCATATAACCTCAACAAATGGCTGCCTGCTTAAGTGCTTACTATGTGTGAGGTACTGTGCTAGGTGCTTGGGATATAAAGCTAGCAAAACAGTCCTTATACCCTTATATGCATATGACGCAAGTATACAAGTAGAATGTGATAGGTACAAAGACATGAAATAAGAAATTTAAGGAGGAACCTAGTACCCTCTAATATTAAAAAACAAAAACAAGAGACAACTGAATTTGCCTTTCAGATATATTTTTGGGTAATCTCATTGTAATTCTAGAAGAGGAGCCCTATGGTGATGTCCAAAGTGTCATTAAAGCTATAGTGAGAGGGAGAAGGTGGGGTAGAGTAGTAGTTCTTCACCTGAGGTCTGTGGATCTGTGTTTATTTTCAGAGAAATTCTGAGAAGGAGCTTCCCCAGAATACCACAGGGATCTGTAACACAAAAAAGGTCAGAACCCCCAGGTTGGAGGAATGCTTGAATGAAGCTGAGTAACCTCCATGTAATAAATTGTTTAAAATATTTATTTTTTTCCTTTTTTTGTCATCTCACAGGGATGCGATACAAACGAAGAGGAGTTGATAAAAATGGAAATGTTGCAAATTATGTAGAGACTGAGCAGTTAATTCATGTTCATAATCACACACTATCATTTATTCAGACACGAGGCTCTGTTCCTGTTTTTTGGAGCCAGGTTGGTTATCGGTACAATCCTAGACCACGGCTGGACAAAAGTAAGTGGGCCAATTATCTATGTGATCGGTCAACAATATTATTAAAAAGTTGAGACTTTTGTATTTGATCTTTCAAATAACTGAATTAAACAAGAAAGTGATTGTATTAGGTCACATATTGTAGGTGGGTGGTATATGGTGTGTTCTATATCAAAAGGATAATCACAGGTTTGAATGTGTTAATCTTTTCACTTAAATTCCTAAATAACAATTAGTTGAAGCATGCACAAAATGAAGAGAGAGCTTTTTGTGGTGACCTTAAATTGCTGTTTAACTTGAAGGATGGATTAATTGGATACTTGAGTGTATAAAAGGTAAATATAAACAATATTTGTATCATGAGGAAATATTTTTAAATGGTAACACCTACCAAAGTAGGCAATATTTGAAGTTGAACAAAGACAGATTTTTCATTTTGAAAATCAGAAGTTAGTTGTTCTATTTTAACTTAATAGTAAAATTGCTAGTACATACACACGTGAACACACAGACACAGACATATACACACAAAATCTTAAATTTTTTCACTATTAACTTTTCAGTGCTTCAGTGGCTCTGAGATGTGGTACTCCTTCCACTGGTACAGATGACCAACTATCTGTGGTTTCTAATTTGATTCAACTTTTGTCCATTTCCTCCCATAAGTCTCCGTGGAAGTCTACCCAATGTGCCAGGGGCTTTCCTTGAGATGTCAATATTCTGAGGATACCAGCAAAATTCTAGTGCCATGTTATTGTTCTTTTTTCTTCTTGACTAACTCATTCCTTTTTTCCAGTCACACATCTCTTGTCAGACACACTCAACACAGTTATACACAGAGCTTCTCATTAGTAATTCTGTGCAACCCATTTATAATTACTGTACATCTCTCCATTGCCTTTGGGTTACCTGCAATTTTGGTTCTTGACTGGTATTCCATTATTCACAGCCATGGAACACCAGTAGTTAATGTTAGAAACATAGAGGTTTTGTTTCAAGGAGAGGTTTAGAGTCATTTTCCAAATGCAATCCAGCCTACTCTTTCTGTCCATTTTAATTCTGAGCTAAGTTTATTGTTTTTATTTTCTGTTCAAGACATAGTATCTTAAGGCCGAACTCTTTGTGAATTTTCTCCTACTTCACATCTTAGACTGGACAGTTTTAATTCATTTACTTGTTTTTTTTCCCCTTTGTGGATAAGTTGAGAACTTTTGAGTGTTTATGGATTTCATTCAGGATGCCCTACAATGTATTGAGGCTTGATTCAGTTGGCATAAGGATATCTACCAATAAGGTATCTGGAAAACCTCATCATCTCTAGGGGTCCCTCTTCCATTTGGCTTCTGTGCTGAAAATCCTTCATAAGTGGTGAAAACATTTAGCAAGGATACATCTTTCTGTTTCATTTCTCACTTGATATAAATAGTCAGAGGATTATCAAGAAAATTTCTCTGTTGTATCTATTAAGGTCATAGAATCATAGATTTAGAACTGGAAGGAATCTTCTAGGTTATAGTCCAACCTCCTCAAACTGAGGCCCAGAGATGTTACTAGCTTTGACTAATGTTGCACTTGTTGGTAAATGCAGAGCAGGATTGAAATCTAGGTCCTTTAACTTCAAATGAATACAGTATTCTTTCTACTATACCACATTGAGTTCTTAGTCATACAGTGAAAGTACAGGATTGGATCCCAGGGATTCCAGTTAGGTTTAGAATCCAGATCTGTCACATGCTAAAAAGCCAAGATGGGGGCAACTAGGTGGCTCAGTGGATAGAGCACCAGCCCTGGAGTCAGGAGGACCTGAGTTCAAATCCGGCCTTAGATACATAACACTCACTAGCTGTGTGACTCTGGGCAAGTCACTTAATCCCAGTTGCCTCACCAAAAAAACAATAACAAAAACAAAAACAAAAAACCAAGATAACCTGTGTAAGCTTACTTAAAGAAGTAAAGAGATTTCTAGCATGGTGGTTCTTACCATGGTAAAGTTCTGAACCTGAAAAAACCTGATATTCCACCAAATCACGACTGCTATGAAATTTATTGTTACAAATCCCTGAGTCACAAGATTTCATCTTTCCATTTAACTGCAAAGTCTTTGTTTCTTCTGGTTTTATTTAAAGTGAAAATATCTATATTGCTAGGAATTATTTCCCATTAATAGCATATTGATTTATTCATCATTGCATAAGGATCTCACGTTCAGAGTACTGTTCTTATTAATAGGCAGCCTAAAAATTGTGATTCTTAGCATCGTCTGACTCCTTTTCTCCTACTCCTGCAACTGTCACTGCAGAAATAAAAACAAAATAATTTTGAAGCCCTACGAACTCATTCATTGCAGTGTCTCTCCATAATACCAGAGGACCACAGACAAAGCTTGCCACTTACCTCCTGATGTAAAGATGGTGGACTCAGAGTGCAGGATGAGGCGTAGATTTTTTGGGGGGGATATGATAAATAAGGGAATTAGTTTTGCTTGACTGGGCATATTTTTTTTAAAAGGAGGAATAACAGTGTTATTTTGTTTCGTGGTAATTTTGTAGTGGCCAAGACCTCATCACACAATGGCTGGAATGCTGAAGAGGAGCCTGGTCCTATTGAGAGCTCTTTTGGTTCTTGGCTGGGGTACAGGCTTATGTAACTCAATACTGCCTTTGTTGGAGATCCTAGTTCTTCATTAGTTATTTACTATGTAGGCAGATAATTGAATAAGAAATTCATTTACTTATAATTTTATTAGAATCTCTTTTTATGAAAATTTTTCCTTTTTTGCATTCAGTATCCTTTCATACTTTGTACAGTCATGTAGTTTTTTTAATTCAGTAAATCAAGTTCTTAAAAATGTAGAATTATTTAATTAGTTCACTATTTCATTAAACAGTTTTGATTATCATAGAATCAGATTTTTTAGAATTAGAAGGGGTCATAGAAGCAACTGAGTCCAATTTTCTCATAGCTGAGGAAACTGAAACATAAAGGTTAAATGATTTGCTCAGGGTTATACAATTAATAAGTATTAGAGACAGTATTTTAACCCAGGTTTTCCTGATTCCAAGTCCTAAAAGTACTCTATCCATTTTATCCATGTTGATTTTTAAAATTACACTTTATAAGGTCTTTCTAAAGTGTTCGTTCTGTATAATATACTGGATTTGGAGTCAGAAGAATAGAGTTAAAATCTTGGTTTTTCAACTTAGTACCTGTACAACTTTAGTAAAGGCACTTGATGTCCTGAAGCCTCAGTTTCTGTATGTGAAAATGAGGAGGTTGGACTAGGGAGCTAGGTGTTGCAGTGGATAGAACATTGAACTTTGAGTTAGGACCTGGACTTGAGTTCAAATCTAGCCTCAGACCCCAACTATGTGACCCTAGGCAAATCACTTAATTTCTGTCTACCTCAGTTTTCTCATCTCTAAAATGAGAATAATAATAGTGCCTACCACTGAGGGGTAATTGTGAAGATATAATGAGACAGCATTTTTAAAGCACTTTGGAAACCTTCTAGTGCTCTATAAATGCTTGCTCCAGCTTCCTATGAAGAGACGAGGTGAAGGTCTGACCTTCCTTCTGACTGTGCCTTCTGTTGTCTGAGGGAAGACTTCCCAGGGCTTCCAGCTCCCCCTGCTTAGTCTTCACTGCTCCGCCCGGATCTCTAGCTTACGAAGAAGAGGTAGGGCTCAACCTTCTGTCTAACCCTCCCTTCTGTCTTCTATTATGGATGTCCCCTGAGGGAAGGTGGCGTGGAGCCAGGACTTCCATCACCCGGCCCCTGAAGACTTCTACCTCCTCTCGAGTCCATCTGGTCCTTATGGCCACAGAACTTCCATTTCCTGCTGGGCCTATCCCTGATGGCCGAGGAAGATGAAGGTCTGCTGGGAGCAGCACGTGCATCTCCTGCTGTGCAGGTTCATCTTTCATCTCTTCTTGTGTGTCTCTTACCTCATCTTCCTACCTTCAAAGGGAAGATGAAAGGAGAAATGAAGGCCTTCTGACTGTGGTCTTCCATCTCATGATGAGCGTGATCTCCAGCTTCTTTTGGGAAGAGGCTTGTTACCTTCCACTGAACGATTAAGATACTCACACCTGGTCATATCCTATACATGCCAATAATGCTCAATCCTCGTAAGTTATCATCCAGAACCCCACTCCACAACACCCACTTCTCAGTTCCTTACTTCTGTTCCCCTCAACTCTCCTACTTTCAAATCCCAACCAGATGCTAACCACCCCTTCCACTGTGCCTTTGGAAGGCCTGTTCCATAGGCAACACCCTTGGGCCTTCATCTTAAATCTTTTCCTCTCCCACTTTTCCCATCTTCTAGCAATCACCAAGACCTGATTCTACGTAATGACAGCCTCCTTTGCCACCCTTTCCAGTACTGGTTTGCACTTGCACTCCTTCTCCTTGACTCACTAGTCGAGGGAGGGGAGTTGGAATACTCCTTCCTCCGCATTGCTCCTTCCAGGTTCTCCTCCATCTCCATTTCTTAGTAACCTCTCCTCCTTTGAGGTGCTTACATTCTGCATGTTCTACCCAGTCAGAATCCTGGTAGCTATTGTCTATAAACCTCCAAGAATTTCTCCTTCCTTTCTCAATGAGCTCAGTACCTGGCACATAATCTTCCTCTCTGCAACTCCTGTTATATTAGGTACTCCAGGCATACATATTGACACTCTGAAGCACTAACCATTTGGTGCCTCAGCTTACTCACTTCCTAGGATCCTACTCCTCTACCCCACCTCAGCCACACACAGATACTCATACCTTTGATCTTGCTTTTACTCTCAAATGTACTACCTCCATATTTAAAAACTCTGAAATCCGCTTATCTGACCATATTCTGTAGGCTTTCCACCTCTCCCTCTGCCTTCCCATAGCAAACACTACTTTTTGTCTACATCGTGTGACTTCCAACCTCTTAATTCCTCAGTTCTCTCCTAGGCTAGCCCCACTGCACTAGCCACTCTTTCCTCTTTTCCTCATCTTGATCCCTTGATGAACCAGTTAAAATCTACACTGTCCCCTTCTGTTGAGTCCCTGGCCCCTTTGTCATATCACCGATAGTACCCTGCCAAGCCTTGGTCCTGGATTGTCCCTACCATCCCCCACCTTTACTCCTATACACATACTGCTGAACAAAGGTAGAAAAAAATCACACAACCATTATTACTGGGTGTGGTATACATTTGTTACCCAACCTCGGTGGGGTCCTTACCACTGCTAGGTAATCCTTCTACACATCCCTTATTAAGTCACTATTCCACTTTCCACAGTGGATCTTCTAAACTTCTTCATGTCTCTTCATGTCCCTTGGCTCCTCTCCCCTCTCAGCTGAGAACCTTTCCTCATATTTTATAGAAAAGTTGAGGCCCTCTTCTTCATTTTATGTCACTTAGATGCCTTCTGTCACTTATCTCCTCCTTCACCCTTGTCTCATATGAAGAGGTGGCCCTTCTTATCAAGGCAAACCACTCTACATGCCCAGTTCTATCACTTCTCTGCCTCCTCCCTCATCTATATTCTCAAGTATCTTCAGTCTGTCCACATCTATTGCCTTCTTCTCTACCACCTGCAAACATATCCATGTCTCCCCACATCCTCAGAAAATCCTCACTTAATCCTCCCATCTCCACTAACTATCCTCTTGGATCTTTTCTGCCCTTTGTGGCTAAACTCCCAGTGAAAGCTGTCTACAATGCCTCCAGGTGCCTCCACTTCCTTCCATCTCGTTCTCTTTTTGACCCTCTACAGCTCGGTTTCCGACCTCATCATTGCACTGAAACTGCTCTCTCCAAAGGTACTGATGACCCCCTAATTATCAGAACCAAAGGCTTTTTCTCAGTCCTCATTCTTCTAGACCTCTCTGCAATCTTTGGCACTGTTGACCATCCTTTTCTTCTCAATATTCTTTTCTCTAGGTTTTTGAGTCACCATTCTTCCTGGTTTTCCTACCTGTCTGACCATGCTCCAGCTTCCTTTGCTGGGTCCTCATCCAAGTCACACCCACTAACCATAGGTATCACTCAGAGCTCTGTCCTCGGCCCTCTTTTATTCCTGTACTATTTCACTTGGTGATCTCTTCAGCTCTAGTCGATTTATTGATCATCTCTATGCTGATGGTCTCAAATCTACTTTTCCAGCCCTAACTTCTCTGCTGACCTCCTGTCTCACATCTCCAGATACCTTCCTGACCTTTCAAACTGGGTGTCCAGTTAAAATCAACATTACTAAACACGTTACCTTTACCCCTTAAACCTATCCTGCCTTCCAAACTTCCCTATTACAGTGAACATCACCACCCTCCTAATCCCTCAGGCTCACAATCTAGGTGTTATCCTCTGCTCCTCCCTATCTTTCAACCCTCATATCCAGTCTTGCCAGCATCTCTCATACAGCACCTTCTCTCCTCTAACACTGCCATCACTCAGGCTTAGGCTCTCATCGCCTCATGCCTGAATTATTACAGTAGCCTGCTGGTGGGTCTGCCTGCCTCTAGTCTCCACTCCAATCTATTCTTCATTCAGCTAGCGATGTAATTTTCCTAAAGTACAGATCCAGCCATGTCACTCTCCTACAAAATACATGTAACTCTTTGTCACGTCCAGGATCAAATACGAAATCCTCTGTTTTCAAAGCCCTTAATAACCTAGTGCACTCCTACCTACCTTTCCCGTCTTCTTATGCCTTTGACTTCCCCACATATTTTTCTGTCTAGTAACATTGACTTCCTTGCTATTCCACGAGTAAGACATTGGTCTCTCAGCTCTCAGCATTTTCTCTGGCTGTCCCCAGTGCCTGGAGTGTTCTCCTTCCTCATCACTACGTCTTGGTTTCCCTGAATTTCCTTCAACTCCTGCCAAAAATCCCACCTTGTACAGAAAACCTTTTCCAACTGTCCTTCATGCTGATGCCTTCCCTCTGTTAATTATTTCCTATATACAGCTTGTTTATATGGATTTGTTTGCTTGTTGTCTCCCTCATTAGATTGTGAGCTCCTTAAGGCCAGGGCTTGTGTTTGGCTTCTGTTTGTATACCCAGTGCTTAGAGTGTCTGCTACATAGTAGGTGCTTGATAAATGCCTGTTGACTATCTATCATTCATATTAGAGTTCCTGCTAGCTCTCAATTCTATGATCATTGACTTCTTACTCTCTAAGTTCCCTCAGTGCCTGTAGCCTTCTCACCTGGGAACCTTCTTCTACTTCTATAGCCCCTTTTCCCACTGATGAGTTCCTTCCAGAGCCTCCATTTTGGGAAAGGTGCCAGGCTGGCCGTCCTTCATTCCTCTCTCAGCTCTGCTGCTCACTCTTTGAACTTGGCTACTATGCCCCTGCATGGAGTACCTTCCAATTCCATATAACATGTACCTTTCACTTCGCTTTTATGTGTTGTCTTCCTCCAGTAGAATATAAACTCCTTGAAGTCAAGGAGTTCGTATGAATTTGTATGCCTGGCTCCTTGCACAGTGACATTAGTGTTCAAGAAATGTTTGTTGACTGATAGCCCAAGGTAGATGGTTAAAGATGGAAAATATGTGTTTTTACATATACACACACATAACATACATATGTATACACATGCTCTCAATGCCTTTCTGTTTTAAACATACATGGTAAGAAAAAAAATGTGTATTTTTCTTTTTTTTGTAGATGAAAAGGAAACAGTTGCATATTTCTCAGCACATTTTGAAGAGCAATTGAAAATTTACAAAAAACAGGTTGGCTTTTTATCACACTCCCCCCCCCCCCATGTTTAGAAATGTTTTACTCTGCTGGTTTCTCTTGGTGTATATTTGCAATATTTTCAGGAAAAATATCCATTATCCAGAGATGCAACTTCTAAACTGAGGGATGTCTGTATCTCTTGTGTGTGTGTTTTATATATACATAAACACTAAAAGCACATTGAAAGTGAAACTACATTCTTAATATACTTTTAAGATTATTTATAGATCCAGCAACCAAACTTTTTGAACATTGTAAGCAATCTAGTGACAAATTCTTATAGATCTGGGTTTTTGCAATTACATAGGAAAAAAGTTGTTAGTAGCGTGAGTTAATTTCATAATTTATAGCTGGGAAAATCATTCTTGCAATATCTTCCATAAAAAAAAAAGTATGATTCAGCAGGGATGACCTCAAATTTCAAAGATTTAGTGAAATCTAACTTTTGCCTTGTCTTCTCTTCCCCTTTCCTTTCTTTGACAGGTTATCATTAATTTGGTAGATCAAGCAGGAAGAGAAAAGATTATTGGAGATGCTTACCTCAAGCAGGTGTTGCTTTTCAACAACTCAAATCTCACTTATGTTTCATTTGACTTTCATGAACATTGGTAAGGTGGCTTCCTTGAAATGTTCTTTGAGCCATTGGAATGTAAGTGACTGTGTGATAAAAGTTAGTTTTACTAACTTGAAGTTATCTTATTTGTAAAATAAGTGGTTGGATTAAGTAATTTCCAAGGTCCTTTCCAGTTTCCAATCTGAGGTACTTCTGCTTAATGGGAAATCATATTTCTTCTATGCCTTAAGATGAACAAATTTTTTTATAATTGATTCCATGTAAATATAGTTTTGATTAAATTTTTGGATCATTTGTCCTTTTTACTCTATGTTTATATTTTCTTTTTGCCTTAAAATGGCTTGGAGAGGGTGTGTGTGTGTATGTGTTTTCCCTTTCTGTCCTATCTTTTGCATTTTTGGGAAAAGTTCCTTTTAATTCCTTTCTGTACAAAAACACCCTGGGCTGCCTATTCTTAACATTTCTAACCCAGAATAAAACTCACATCCATTTGCTTTGAAAAAACTCTACGATACTTAATAGTTCTAAATGCAACTTCAGTTTTATGCTATTATATATGTAGTAGTCCTATTCCATAGCTCTGGCTCTAGCTAAGATCGTTTATATAGTTAATGAGGTGGTGTTGGGCCAGTAAGAATATGATAAATTACCCAACTTATCTGTTTTAATGTTGTACTCCTTGGGCTTTTAGAGTCTGTACTTCATTAAACCATACAAATTGGCTTCAAATGTTTATGTAATTTATTTCTGTTACATATGTATTATACTTTATATATTTCATATCATTATTTTTTATGTTTAAAAAACTTGCCAGATTTTAAAATATACCATTTTTCAATGTGTTTTAGCCGAGGAATGAAATTTGAGAATGTTCAGACTCTAACGGATGCCATTCATGACATTATTCTGGACATGAAGTGGTGTTGGTAGGTAATATTTAACAAAACTAACATTTTTTGCAAGATTCTGATACTTATGCCTTTTGCTGCCAATAAACACTAAATTAACTTGCTGAGAATTTATTTGGTCTCCCAAGTCTCATCATTTTCTTGTGTGTTCCTAGAAATTTAGTTATTTTGCTTTTAGGGTAGAAGTCATAAGTTAGGTGAATAAAGAACATGGCTTAGGCCATCTAAATCTCACTGTTTTTTGTGTCTAAATCTGTCCCAACATTATTTAATGAAAATAAATTGACTTAGAGTATTGCTTCTTAATCCATGTTTTCTTCTTTTTATCAAGTGGAGAGGCAAGACTAAGATATTAAAGACACCTAATTTAAATTTTAATGAAAAGGATGATGGTCAATGATATTCATTGACTGCTGACAAGCTATATGATGAGAACTGCCTAGTCCAGAGGCTTGTAGATAGTAGGTACTCAGTAAATAGTAATGGAATAAGTGAATATTGACAGAATGTTAAGAGAAAATTAACTTATGTTATGGGAGATTTAGATTGCACATCCTGAAGGCATGTTGATTGCAGGACAGAAGTTGTTAAGAAAAGAAGTTTACTTAATTTCTTAAACATCTTCAGGGAAGGAGTAAATTAGGTTGCTGTGGTCTTGATGAAGTAGATGATCTTATGCTTGAAGAGAAATGAGATAACACTGAATTCCTATCCAAACTTATAATCCTAGCTTGAAGCAATTAGAGTAAAACCTAGTCAGTAGTGATGTTTCCTTAGTCAGTTATGTCAGATCTTGATATAATTCATTGTATGCTTAGCTTAGGTGTCAGATTTTTGTTAAAAGTTATACATCTTTGAACTTATATTTTGGAGATTCATCAGTCAAAGCTTAGGTTAGCCTAAAATTCAGTCAGCTTGATCAATAAGAACAAAATATTTTATTTCAAGAAACATTTAATATGCTATGAAGTGACAAATTTGCAGAAAATTACACTAAGTATTACTAAAATAGCGTCGTCTGGTTTTTTGAAGGGTTGATCAAGCAGGGGTAATATGTAAGCAGGAAGGGATTTTTCGAGTTAATTGCATGGACTGCTTGGATCGTACAAATGTAGTGCAAGCTGCTATTGCAAGAGTGGTCATGGAACAGCAGGTATGTTTGAATTCGATATTAATTTTTTTCCTAATTAATTGAATTGCATTATAAAAGGCACTACTCTTGAAGTCAGAAGACTTTGGTTCAGATGCTGGCTAGGTTACTGATATCTGACTAGGAATTTAAACCTTTTGACCTTCACTTTTCTTAACTTATAAAAGCAAAGGCTTTGAACTAGATGAGTCCAAAGATTCCTTCCAAATTCTGTGAACTGAAGTAATGATTCTTATGAATAAAAAGAAAAAAAATGTTAAAACTCTACAATGGAAGAACATCCTCATACTGAGGAATAGTGACATTTTTATGAGTATTAACTTCAAAGATACAAATCTTGACATTTTGAAACTTGCCGACTGTTTATAAAAGTGTCATGTAGTTAATTTGTTTTTCATTTCACATTGATATTCTGTTGCTTCTGCTGTTTAAATTTGTTGAAGTGAAATATTATTATGTGGACCTTCATGCCAAAAATTACATGAAGCCATTCCAAGTATTTTGTTTATACATCTTTGACACATGCCAAGTGTTACTTTTCTTGTGATATTAAATAGACAAAGCTATTTCTTTTCTTTAAAAGTACTTAATTTTGTATGCACTTTGTGTTTTCTTTATTCTATCCTGTGGGAGCTTTGCAATAATCAGTTACTATATTTTTAAATTTTAGCTAAAGAAATTAGGTGTGATGCCCCCTGAGCAACCATTGCCAATGAAATGCAATCGAATCTACCAGATAATGTGGGCAAATAATGGTGATTCCATAAGCAGACAGTATGCTGGAACAGCAGCTTTGAAGGTATTTTTTTTTTAAGTAGCATACATTTGGCCATCATTTATCCAGCAGCTATGAGGATTTGGTTTAGAAGTAACTTTTGAAAATATCAACCTTATTAAGTTGTGTGAGTTTTTTCCTATGTGATGGGGTCTTTGGAAATCCCAAAACACTCAGTGACAGACTTAAGGGACTGTACCTCATTGATTTTTACACAAATTGTGAGAACTTGGGTATTGTTACTTGCATCATGTAACACCCATGTTATTATTTATACATACCTAGAGCTTTAAGGGTTTAAAAGACATCAAGCATTTCATCTTTTTGGTGAAATGACACATTTGGGGGAAAAAATTGTAATAATTGAAGGAAGTAATTAGAAATCCTTTTACATTTTCTTGTTTCAAAGCATAGAGTAAGGTGTTAACTGTGGAGACCCAAGTTCAATGTCTACATCTCACTTTTGTTGGTGAGCTAACTAAATAGCAACGTGTCAATCCTAAGTCGATGGACCTAGAATAGGTTCATAGGATCATTCAGCTTTAAAACTGGAAGGGGCCTTTAAAGATCATCTAATTCAAGCCTTTCATTTGACAGATAAGTAACTGCACTTAAGAGAGGTTAAGTGATTTGTTCAGTTAAAGTTTCACATACAATTTTCAGCAGTAACAGGATCTTTGCTTCCAGACTTCCCGCATCCAGGGTTTTTTTAAGTACATTGTGATGTAGACGTAGAGGTGATGCATCATAGTGGATGGAGTTGAGTTTAGAGTTGGAAAGACCTAGGTTCAAATCCTGGCTGTGATACTTCCCTGCACGAGTCTCTTGAACTCTCTATGCTTCAGGTAACTCCCTAGGACTTAGCTACTAAGGCATAGTTCTTCAGTTGATGAAATCACTGGTTATTTGCACGTATGGTAACTCTAATTACCAGACTCTTATTTCATGAATTTCACTGTCCTCAACTCCAAATGCCTTTTATTAACCCTCATGTTCCTTGTCTTTCCACTTCTTTTCAATATTAGACATTGCTCACTCCTTTGTTCTTGAAATTTCTGCCATCATTTCCCACAACACTATACCATCCTGATTATCTTTCTCTTTCTGACTATTCTTCTTTTCCTTTGCTTGTTTTTTGTGCTTATTAAATGTGAGCATCTCCAGGGTTCCACCTGAGCCTTCTTCTCTCTATATATTCCCTTCTTTCGTGATCCTGTCTTCTCTCAACATTTTAATTAATCACCTTTATGGAGATTGCTCACAAAATCTCTACCTCCATTCTCAAGCTCTCTCCTCAACAACAGTTCCCCTGTTTCAGAATGACTGCTAGACATTTCCATCACCTCAAATTTTAAAAAAATGGAGCTTATCTATGTTCCCCCAAACCAACTTCTCCTAACATCCTCATTTCTCTCGAAGGTCCCACAGTTTTCCAACATCACACTTTTGTTCAAAGCCTCAGAGTAATCCTTATCTCGTTGCTTACTCCCAGCCCCCATAAAATCAGTCACCAGGTTTAAAGGAAATCTTTTTATCCAGCTCTTCCTTCAGTTTCCGCTGCCACCAACTTAGTTCTCTCTTCTAATTTGGTCTGTAGCCTTTGAACTAATATCCCCATTTTCATTCTCTTTCCAGCAATGCCATTTTCTGATGTCTTTTTGAAGCATTACTGATTCTGTTCTTCCTTTGCTCTCTGCCCTTCCCCTTTCATAAGCCTTAAGTGGCTTCCTGTTGTTTACCCAATAAAGGCCAACCTAATTACCTTGGCACCATCAGCTGATTTCAGTCCACCTTTCTGCACATGTTCCTTTTTCCTCAGCTAAACTGGATCACCTACCATTTCTTGAACATGTTTTGTGCTTTCTTACCTTCATGTTGCTAATATCATTCCCTGTATTTGGAATGTTCTCCTCATCTCTACCTGTTGAAATCCCACCCATTCTGCAAACCTTAGCTCATATTTACTTTCTTCTTTGATTTTCCTAGTCAGATATTCTTTTCCTTCCTGAATCTCCAAATTCCATTATAGATACTTTTTTTAGGGTTTCATTTTTACCTTTGAGGGTTTCATTTTTATCTTTTTAACTTCTTCTATCCCTAAGCACCTTGCTCACTAAGGTTTTAATGAATAAATTAATACATTTCTATTCAAATCATGCCTTCCTTTTACTCCATGTAAAATTAGTATTTAGAAACAATTACTCCTTGCTTTTCTTCATGGCAATGACCCATTTTTGATCATACTTTTTTTTTCTTTTTTTTTTTTCTTTTTTTTTTTTTGGTGAGGCAATCAGGGTTAAGTGACTTGCCCAAGGTCACACAGCTAGTATGTGTCAAGTGTTTGGTCTGAGGCCGGATTTGAACTCAGGTCCTCCTGACTTCAGGGCCTGTGCTCTATCCACTGCGCCACCTAGCTGCCCCTGATCATACTTTTTTCGATCATTTTTTACACCATATCTTAAATGCTGGTCATGTTTGAACATGTGTTGGAGTTTATTTACACCTACAGCTTGTCTCTTCTATTGTCCTTAGAGTCACAGTTCCATTATTTGAAGGTATATAGCTTCATTGGGATAATATTAATGTTAGAGATAGATTTTTATGCCTGGGAACAACTTGAGATTATTAATAGTGCTGGGTAATTTTTGAAATGCAATCCAGTCTTCTTTTCCTATACAAATTTTTGGTCCAGATCATTGTCTACTTGCTTTACATTTCCTTATATACAGGGTTTCCCAGAAGTCTTAACTGCAGTTTAAAATTTTTCTTTTATATTTCTTTAGTTGTGTGAATTTTTAATAATGAATTTTAAATTTTAACAAGAGGGGGTACTCTGTCCTTTTATATTGTATGTGTCACAGTTTCTAGAAAACACTTTCTCAGATGGTGGACTGCAAGGCAACCTCAGGCAACTGATTTATCCCTTATTTTTTTGTTTAGATTTCTCTAGGTCTAAGAGGGTTAAGTTGAGGTTCCTCCACTAGTATAGTTTTGCTGTCTTTTTCTTGTAGTTTATTTAACTTTTCCTTTATTGTAAACAACATATTGTTGGATTCTAGTTTCTAATCCTTTATTTTATCCTCTTTCATTTTATGGATGAGTACATTCCATTAACATTCACAGTTGGAACTCCTGTGTAACTCCAACCTTTTCTCTCATACTTTTCCTTCTCTTTTTTTCTCTGTACCCTCTTTAAGAGTTTATGTTGGTTCTGATTAATGCCTCCTTTAATCTATCCTCTCTCTAATTCCTCCACCCTAGCCCACCCCATCCTTTTCCCTTAACTGCTTTCATTCCTATTTCTTTCTTTGGTAAGTTGTACTTTTATATCTATTTATCTGTGTGTGTGTGTGTGTGTGTGTGTGTGTGTGTGTGTGTGTGTGTATCCTTCCCTTCTATGACCAGTGCAGTTAATAGTGATGAGAAAACCCCCATTATCTTCTACTTATTGTAGACATTCTTCCTTGAGCACCCTGTTTATGTGAGATAATTTTTCTTATTGTTTCTCTCTTTTCCCCCTCTCCCAGTGTGTTCCTTTCTTCTCACTGTTTCCTTTTTTTAAGATCATCAACTCATAACATAACAGAATAACTTCCAGGCTCTCTATCTAATTAGATTTCCTCTGTTATTCCTAATGATGATAGAGTTCTGAGGGGCTACATGTATCATCTCTTCATAAAAGAATGTAAATAGTTTAACCTTGTTTAGTCATAGCTTACTCATGGTTCCCTTTTTATCCAGCTCTTGACTGCTATGTTTGTATGTCAGATTTTCTACTCAACTCTAGTCTTTTCATTACAAATGCTTAGAAGGCCTCTATTTCATTAAAGATACATTTATTCCCTGAGTATAGTCAGATTTGCTGGGTAAGTTATTCTTGGTTGTTATCCTAGATTCTTTCCCTTCTGGAATATCATTCCAAACTCTCTACTTCCTTATCGTGGTAGCTGCTGAGTCTTGTGTGGTCCTGACTGAGGCTTCTCAGTACTTGAATTCTTTCTTTCTGGCTAACTGCAGTACTTTTTTCTTTGACTTTGAAGCTCTGGAGTTTGTCTGTAAGATGCCTGGGAGTTTTTATTTTGGAGTTTCTTTAGGGATGTGGGGACTGGATTCTTTCCATTTCTACTTTACCCTCTGGTTCTGTTTTTTTTTTTTAAATGATTTCTTAAAATAGCATGTCTAGGCTCTTTTGTTGTTCAAAGCTTTTTCAGATAGTCCAATGATTCTTAAATTATCTCTCCTCAATCTGTTTATCTCATGGGGTCATTAGTTTCCATTTGGCAATTCTAATTTTCAGTAAGGTTTTGTACCTCTTTTTCCAAGCTATTAATTCTGTTTATATCTTTCTTCCCCAACTTTTGCTTCTTTTCCTTTTTTCCTCTACCACTCTCATTTGGTTTTTTAAATCATTTTTTAACTCTTTCATAAAAACTTTGCTAGGAAGTTTTAGAATTCTGTGTAAGCTGCATTTTTTCTTCAAGGCTTTGTTTGTACATGTTTTCACATCCTCTTCTGTATCTATGCCTTTAGCTTCCCTGTCACCGTAATAGCTTTTTGTGGTTGGGTTCTTTTTTAATTTGCTTATTCTTCCAGCCTAACTCTTGCCTTTCTACTTGATTTTAGTGCTGAGCTCTACATTTCTGGGGGCAGTGTTTGACTTGAGCTTTTCTTAAATCTTTCTGTTGCTTTTACAGCTCAGTCCAGGACCCTACAAACTTTCAATGCTCCCAAAGAACCCTAGAGGTGAGGTCTTTTCACTGATCTCATCTCTGCAAGTTCCTGACCCAGGTTTGGGTCTGTTGGTTTGTTCTTCATGGTTTTAGTGAACTACTGTCAGACTCAGCTACTAATAGCTTGCTTTGAGGCTCTGTAGATTCAGAGTGATTGAACTGCTGGCTCCCCTTTGGCCTGGGACTCTTACTCTGGTTATTTCAATGCAGGCTTCTATACCGAGCTTGAGGCTAGAACTGAGTCCCTGCCCTGTTCCTAGGAAGTTTTGCTTCTAGAACTTACTCAGCTCTAGTCTGTGGTTATGCAGCTGGGCTCCATTCTTGCTGGGTTAACTGTAGCCCGATGGCCCCCAGTCCTTCAGCCAGTGCTAGTTCTAGGATCTTCTAGGATTGCTGTCTTTCAGTTCCTGGTGCTGGAATGCTCAGCATTGCATGCTCCTGTGGTGGCCAGACCCCAGCCCTAGTCTCTGCAAACTTGTCTATCTCCATAAACCACCCTGGGTTGGAAGAAAGTATTCAAATGATTTTTTCTTAGAGTTCCCGATCAGAATTCGTCTGTTGTGTTTTCTAGGTCTTTATGGAGGGGTTTAGTGGGAATCTGGGTTTAACTGTTTCTTCTCCCTGTGGCGTTTTGATTCTGCCTCTCTATCTCTATGACACATTAATACTGTTAGGTATGCATCAAACTTTGTTCTTCGGATGATCTTAATGTTAGTCACTGAGCAGCAGCTGATGAAAGTTTTTAGAAAGTTTAGTAGGATGATATGTAACACAAGGCATTAGTTATGCTGAATTTTATTATGAAATATACCAGTATTTAAACATTTTAAATAACCTTTCAAATGTTTTACTTTATAAGTTCATAGTATTTTTACTGCTGCAGTTATTAAAACTTAAAACTAAGACTTTTGGGAACACTCTGTGTGTGCTTATGGACCTAGTGGGTTGCCCTTGCATCCGAGTACCATAATTGGAGTGATATGTATTGCTCTTCTACTTTTTTTTTTGTTTGTGGATTAAGATGATGCTTTTTGAATGTCTATGGATTTTATTATGACTTCACAAGTATAGTTGATACCATATTGCTTGGCTTTTCAAGGGATGAGGGAGGGGCAGGAGGGAGAGAATTTGGAACATAAAATTTTTACATATGATGGGGAAATATTTAACGATAAATAAAAATATTTCAAAAAAGAAACTATCAGGTGTATGGAATATAGCAGAAATGATTAGCTCAATAATGGATAGAAAATCCCAGTGTAAGTTAAGACTTAATCAAGTGCGTAAACTAGTGGAAATTCTTAGTATACAAATATAGTAAAAAAAAAGATCCCTCAATATAATGAATATAGAATTTTTAACAAGAATCCTACAGAGGAGATGCCAGTGGATTACTAATTGATTACTGTTAAGAAAACTTGTAGTTTCTAGACAGGCCCTGTGGTCTGAAGGATGGAAAAGTGAAGGAGTTTTCTTTGGTCCATCAGGAAAATAAGAGAAAAAAGAGACAGTGCTTTTCAAACCCTGGCATATAAAACCAGAAGGGAGGCAGGCCAGAAATAATAGAGCCTCAAAGCCTCAAACCTATGCTTTCCTGCTCAACCAAAGGGAATAGGGGGCAAAGTCAAGAGGGATCACAAAAGGCTCGGTCTTAAAATCCTTGTTACTGTATCAGATCACATGTTCCTCTTTCAGAAATGAGCCTATAGCTCTTATTTTCTGTTGTCCAAGCTCTGCTATGTCTGAAAGTCAGTTTTAAGGGCTCCATCTAACTACTCCATTAGTAAACAAAAAGCTGCCTCTTCATTTCAGTCCACATGATTTATTAGGAATCACAGTTTGGAATTCTTAATAGCAAGCATTCCCTGACATTTGGGGACCTTTCTCTCCTAAAAGGGGATGCCTTATCTTGGCAAGAACTTAAGGGAAAGGAGAGGCAAGTTATTCTACCCTTCTCTCCATCCCAAATGCTTACAAGGTAAGCAGCTGTAAATTAGAACTGCCCAGGATGGCTGAGCAGGTAGGCTTTATAATCAGACATTCCTAAGTCCTTCAGTTCTTAAGGCACTGAAGGGATTGTTGAATTCAACCCAAATTCTCCTGCAACAGAATTTTGTCCTGTTGATTATTATATGAATAGATGGATTTTTGGAGGGTTTTAGAAGTCTCTTTTGTTATATGTAAATATAACATATTTGTAAATATGTAAATTTGTAAATATGTAAATATAACATAAATATGTTGGTGTTTATAGTAACTATGACATGATCTCTAGGAATTCCATAGAATGCCACATATGGCAAGAAAACTAAAAAGATATTCTGTGTTGTAGGCTAAAAACAGTATGATTAATGTAGTCATGGCATAGTCTCATATTAGATTATCTAGACCATTTTATAGAATAGAACAAACTAACCTTTAAAACCATTTTATGTACATTTTTTTGGAAAGGTATATATGTCTTAGGCAGTGCGGTATAGTAGGTAACAGCCTCAAAGCCAGGAAGACTCGGGTTCAATTTCTGTCTCTGACATATACTGACTTGAATGACCCAGGACAAATCATTTAACCTTTCAGTGTTTGAGGCAACTCTTGATTCTAGAAGAGGTGCTGACTTGTACTGGTAGAACTTTCTCCACATGGGAGTTCTCTGTCCAGTGAAATCACAAGTCTAGTCCTATAGATTGTAGTCATCATATATAGACCATCATGACCAATTGTGTCACATGGGTGACCTCAGTATTGTGTAAAATGTGAGGGTTTATTTAGATGATCCCTAAAATCCTTTCTAGCCCTGGCAAGGAATTCTTTTTCTAAGTATATGTTATAGGAACCGGAGTTCTAAACTTTATGGCATGTATAGTTTTCAAAACCCTAGGTTTTAGACTCACATTGGTATTTTCCTAATTTCTTGGTACTTGTCATAATCGGCTTAACTAACTGGTTGAAATAACATTTTCTCTTAACAGGGTGACTTCACTAGGACTGGTGAAAGGAAATTGGCAGGAGTCATGAAAGATGGAGTTAATTCTGCTAATAGGTATTACCTGAATCGCTTTAAGGATGCTTACAGACAAGCAGTTATAGGTAAGAAGCTTTTCCCTTCCCTAAGTTGTGATGGCTAGTCCATTCATTTCTTTTCTTGGATGAACATTTGGGAAACAAAGGATTTAATATAGAATAACATTTCTGTTTTATAATATACCTTGTGTTTTATATTGTGCATCTTTCCAAATGAGATGACTTGTTTTAAATGTTGGTTGATGTTACTAGACTGCTGCTAATAAAATAAACTATCTCTCTGTGTAAGTATTTGTGTCTTTGCTTCTAATACAACAGAGCCAGTGAGGTTGGGGCATACAGGATGAGGTGTTTAAAGCCACTGCCTCACAGAATGAAAGATCTATGACCTAGGACCTTTCTTGTCAGCAGACATGCAGCTCTTAGAACTCGTTATTCCCCCCCAAACTTACCTCTTTCTGTCAAGAGCACTGCCATTATTCCAGTCACCTAAGGTCACAGTCTGGAAGTAGTTTCTGACTCTGGTCTTTCACATCCCCACATCTAACTGCTCGCCATGTTTTGTCAGTTTTCTCTCTTCCGTACTCCTCCCGTCTGTCTCTTCTCCACTCGTACAATGACCCCGACTCGAGTCTTCATCACCTCTTACCTGACTTATTGTAGTCCTCTTCCTTAAGTGGTCTCCTGCTTTCAGTCTCTTCCTTTTCCAATTCATTCTCCACGTAGATGCCAAATTGATATTCTGATTACACAAGAAGCTTCAGTGGTTCCCAGTTGCCCTAAGATAAAATTCAGACTACTCTCTCTTTTCAGCTAATTGCGCCTTCCTTTTCACTGTGTCTTCTATGCTGCAGCCAGACTGGCTCCTTAGAATGCTTTCCTTCCTCACCCGGGCCTCTGATGATCCATTAATCCCTTCAAGGCTGCTTTCAAAGGCCTTCAAGAAGCCTTTCCAGATTTCCTAAATTGTCTTTCTCCAGATTGCTTTGTGTTTATTCTGTATGTGTCCTATTTTTATTTAGAACATGGTTGAATGTTTTAGGGGCAGATAGGTGGTTCAGTGGATAGAATGCTAGCTTTGGAGTCAGGAGGACCCAAGTTCAAATATAGCTTCAGGCACTTACTAGCTATGTGACCCTAGACAAGTCACTTAACTCTATTTGCCTCAGTTTCCTCATCTATAAAATGAGCTGGAGAAGGAAATGGCAAATCATTCCAGTATCTTTGCCAAGAAAACCTCAAATGGAGTCATGAAGAATTAGACATGACTGAAACAACTGAACAACAAAGAATATTTAACTCTTTTGAGAGCACAGGGACTGTTAGATGTTCATATGTTTATTTTTTAACACCTAGCACAGTGCCTGACGCATGGTAGGCACTTAAAAATGGTTGTTGTTTGACTAAAAGTAGGAAACTTCGTTCTCTGGAAAGAGTTTTTTGATTACTATGAGCTCCTTGCCATGGATAATAATAGTCAACATTTTTCTGTAAGCCAGGTTTATTTTTTTTTTCCTCACAAAAATACTACCTTGCAGATTACTTAGAATGAATGTTGGCGTAATAGTTCTTATCTATGTAATGCTTTATTGTTTACGCTTTTCTCACAACCCTTGAAAGTATATGGTGAAAGTATTATCCCCAATTATAGATGAATAAGCTCCAGCCTAAAAGTGACTTGCCTGAGGTCACATAGCTGTCTGACATTGGAAGCCGGGACTTTAACTAGGACATCATACCATCTTTCGTTTTTAAGATTACTTATGATTTTTATAGTCAAGAAGACTATATCAGCATGATAGACTTCTGTCTGCAAAAAAGTTTTTGTAAGTATTGCTAATCTCTTGTCTTTATAGATTAGTCAGTGTTCTGTTTTATTGGTTTAAAATTTATTTTCCCTACATTTGTTGTTGTTGTTGTTGTTCACTCATTTTAGTTGTGTCCAACTCATCGTGGCCCCATTTGAGGTTTTTTTGGCAGAGATACAGGAGTGGTTTGCCATTTCCTTCTCATTTTATAGATGAGGAAACTGAGGCAAGCAGAGTTAAGTGACTTGCCCAGGGTGACACAGCTAATGTCTGAGGCTGGATTTGTACTCAGGTCTTCCTGACTCCAGGCTCAGAACTCTATCCATTGCACCACCTATCTTAATTTTTTAGTTTACTCCATAATCTTTAACATATGATGGTCAGAATTTTATAGTTCGGGTTTTTTTTTAACCACTATGCTTCCCTTCAGTCTTTATTCTTTGTATTTTTTCTTACGTGATAAATTTTCAGAGGTTACAGACCTTCCTGTTGCCTTTTAAAAAGATCTTTAAACTAGTCCTGTTTTCCATTCTCTTTCCAAATTATAAACTAAGATAATGACTTATGCTGACATTTCTTAAACTCTCCCTATTTCCCTCACTTTCTACTTTAGATTTGATGCAAGGCATTCCTGTGACTGAAGATCTCTATTCCATATTTACAAAAGAGAAAGAACATGAGGCTTTGGATAAGGAAAATCAGAGAAGCCACCAGGAACTGATCAGCCAACTTTTACAGAGCTATATGAAATTACTGCTGCCTGATGATGAAAAATTCCATGGGGGATGGGCCCTTATTGATTGTGATCCAAGGTCAGTTTGAATTAGTACCCAACCAGTTCCCTTTCTTAACTTTCTGATGCTAATGTCTTAACAGTTGATCAATAGTTACAGGCAGTGTTTACTTAGGTAGCAAAAGGTTTGGACTTCTGTGCATGGTGCATGGTGATTTACAAACACTTGGATAGCACATCATTTTAGGTCGTTCCTAAGTTGCATATGGCCTTTAAAATGTTCCGTGTATTCTGGCTGTGCCCTCCCACAATGTTCTGTCACTCAGATAACCGTACTGACTGTAGCTGAAGGTGTTGTCCTTCTCAGGGAAGGTGTTTTAATGTTTTGGTATTCTTTCACTGTCTGTTTTTCACTACTTGTAGCTCAGTTAATTCTACTTTAGAATGTTGTGAAAGTGTTTTTTTAAACTGCAATGTGGTACATCAGTTTGGACTATCTTGTGTACTCAAGTCTTAGACGGGGTGGGAATCTGTGGCCTCAAGGCAACAGGTGACCCTCTGGGTCCTCAAGTGCAGCCTTTTAACTGAATCCAAATTTCCCAGAATAAATCCCCTTAATAAAAGTTTGGATTCAGTCAAAGACCCAGTAACTCGTTATGATGGGGAGGTGACAGTTCTTGAGGGTTATGCTGCCAGTGTATAATTAGCTTTTGAAAGTTCCATCGTGTTGGAATGGTTTTGAGTACAGGCATGATGATGAACTGTAAGCTGAGAACAAGCTTGGAGAGGCCACAGCACCAAGTCATCATTTTGCATACTGTCAGTGGAGGTTGTAAGTATCTTGATCATGTGTCCTTGAAATAGTCTATATGTAAGCATCTTGCTTTTTAACTCCTTTTCTTCAGCTCTTGTCCAGTGAACTCAGGAACCTTCCCCCTCTGGCTCCATTCATTCATGAATACCCCAAACAGTCCTCATCATGATTGAGAAGTATAGTATTGCTAGTGATAGTTGTTTCAAGAAACAGAAAGTGGATAAATTTTGAGATGAAATTACATGGTAGAGATCCAGGCCACCAGCCTCTAAAAATCTTTCAAAAACAACTGGAAGCCTCCTTCACAATCTCTTTAAAACCCTCTATATACTACTTGGTATCCCTTATCAAATGTTGGTTTTTCAAGAAAATCTTAGAACTAGATTAAATGGTTTATTACTTAATTTTTCTTTAAAAAAAAAATCACTGGTATTCCAATGTTATTATTTTTTCACCATAAAGATCTTTTGTTAGCTAGCCTGAGATGCTGTTTCCGTGGTAAAATGTTTTAAATGTAAAATAATAGGCTTACAAAGGAAATTTTAGAATATAGCCTGTTCATAAATTGAAGACTGCTTGTATTTGACGTGTTTGAAAGGGTTAATGCTACATAATCAATGCTGGACAAGGTTTTGAAAAACAGAAAAATAAAGGATAAAATGACGTTGGACTACTTTGGTTTTTGATGAAATTGAGTAGCCTTGACCTGTGGTGCAAAGTACTGTGAATGCAGCATTTGTTCCAGTAGCCATAGTGTAGCTGTCTCTTAGAGTGTTTATGTCATCGTCAAGTTTCCGCAAATAAAACCAAGGGTCTATACTTTCATTTCAGTATCACTTAGTACTCATTTCATTGCAGTACCATTAAGAGCAATTATTCCTTCCCTTCATTACTTTGGTGCATTTAATTTTTGGACAGTGGCAAGTGGGAAAGGCAGTGGTTGTTGGATGGTGGCTAACATGGACTGTATGAACTTGCCCTTAGTTACCACTGTGTAAGATAGTGGTGGGAGAGAGGACAAAGCTTGGCTGTCCTATCTGTGTAAAACTGTCAAGGCCTGTGGGTGAGAAGTTGATCTACACATCTTATGAACATGGAAAAGGTTTAGCCAAAAACATAGATGTTATATGTGCACTGGGCTTTTGTACCCCTACAGGAATACTGTAGATTTATTTTCCCTTTGACAATTGACAGTCAAGGGAATATGCTGAACCTTTGAAGGTTACTTTCCTATGCTGAAATTTCAATATATTATCTAAATAGAGATTGAGTTTTCTATTCAGTTAATTTAAGAGTTGACTAAAATGAGGTTGAGAGAGAGCAACATATTAATAAGATTAATAATGTTTCTCAACCTCTCCTTACTTTTGCCTTATTTTATGCTTTTCTCTACAACTTGACAAATATTTTCCTAGCTGTCAGGTCTTACATACATATGTGCTGTGATGTCACAGCTGTTTCCTTCCAAAATGCTAGTTTTCTCTGAGGGGAAAGAGTCAGAGTCACCTGAATAATAATCAGAATAGTATTAAGTCCTCAGTTATTTGTGGATAGACTGTATATTTTATCTCTGAATTTTAAAAAAAATTCTACTATTTGTCTCTTTATGCAAAACTGTGCTTGATGGCTTGAAATGTGAATTGTCATGAAAATAATTTTTCACTAATTCCTGCCATATTTTTTAGCCTTATTGATGCAACTCATAAAGATGTGGATGTGCTGCTACTGCTTTCTAACTCTGCATACTACGTGGCCTAGTAAGTTGCACATTGATTAAAAAGCTCTAATTTTTAAAAAAATTAGGTGGTTTCTTAAGTAGAATATCACTTTTATATGATTCTATTATTTTTAACTGCTTAGTAGTTCTGAATTATTTTGTATACTCAAGCAGAATATTTTCTATTTTAATCTTTATTCTACTTCTTCCTATATCTAGTTATGATGATGAAGTTGATAAAGTAAATCAGTATCAAAGACTGAGCCTGGAAAACTTGGAGAAAATAGAAATAGGTAAAAATTTAAATATTTAGGTTGTTTAAATGCTATCCTGTTTCTTCAAAAGGGTATTCAGGTTTAAGCAGCTAATATGACTTTGTTTTAGAATCAGAAAGCTACTGTAATAGCCCTCAAAATATTTTGCCTCTGTGAGCCAAATAGACAAGACAGATTTCTTTTAAAAAATCATGATTGAGTTATGTTTCTCTAGTGAAAAGTTAAGTTTTTTCTCTCCTCCTCTAGACCGTCATGTTCAGGAATTCCAAAATCCCCCTATCTGACCATAGCATACTGATTTTCCACTTCTGCCTTCCCTTAATAAACCCTACTCTTTGCCTACACCATGACCTCCAATCCCAAGACCACTTAGTTCTCTCTTGGGCCATGTAGGCTGCACTCTCTCCTTTTTTCCCAATCTTGACCCCTTGGTGAACCAATTCAACTCTGCACTATTCTCTTTGAGTCTCTAGCCCTTTTATCATTTCACTGATTACACCCTGCCAAGCCTCAACCTTGGATTGCAATCGCCACCATCTAGTGTATACACACCTATACATGTGTAGCAGAATGAAGGTAGAAAATATCATACAAGCATTCTCATTGGTTTCACAACAAATTGATGTTATACAACTCCACTGGGCCCTTGTTCTTCTAATTAGCTCTTCTATACTGACCTTATCAACTCTCTTATCCCATTCACCACAGCAGCTCTTCCAAACCTTTTCATCCCTCCTAAAGGTAACCTCCCATGGCCTCCCCTCCCCCCACCCTTTCAGCTGAGAACTTTTGCCTCATATTTTACAGGAAAAATTGAGGCCATTTGTCATGAATGTCCCTTTCTCCTCTCTTCCTCATTTATCAGTCAGATGCCTCCTGCCATTATCTTTTCCTCCACCCATCTCACATGATGAGGTGCCTTACTCCTTACTAAAACTAACATCTCTACCAGTGACACCATTCCATCCCATCTCCTCCAATAGATTGCTATCTCTGTTATCCCCACTCTATCATTTATTTCAGTCTTCCCCTATCTACTGCCTATGAACATATCCGTGTCTCCCCCATCCTCAAAAAACCCTCACTTGATGCTTCCATCACCACTAACTCTCATCCCAATCTCTTGCCCTATGTAGCTTAATTCCTCATAAAGGCCATCTATGATATGTGCCTCTACTTTCTCTCTACTCACTTCTTTCCCCTTAAAATCCGCCCTCTGACCCTCATTGATCTACTGAAACTGCTTTCTCCTAAATTACCAGTGGTGTCCTGTTTATCAAATCCAGTGACCTTTTCTCAGTGTTCATTCTTCTTGGCCTCTCTGCAGTCTCTGATATTATTGATCACCTTCTTCTCCTTGATACTCTCTTCTCTCTAGGTTTTTGGGATTCAGCTGTCTCCTGGTTCTCTTCCTACCAATCTGATCCCTCCTTCTTAGTCTCCTTGGTCCAATCTTCATCCTCTAACCATAAATGTCCAATAGAGTTCTGTCCTGGGCCCTCTTCTGCTTCTGTACGACTTCACTTGGTGATCTCATTAACTCTATCATGGATTTAATTGCAATTTTTGTGGTTGATAATTCTCAAGTCTACCTATCCTGCCTTAACTTCTGTTGACTTCCTGTCTCACATCTTCAAATGCTCAAAATCTCCAAATCTCAAACTAGATGTCCAGTAGACATCTTAAACTCAGTCTATCCAAAACTGAACTCATAATCTTACCCCCTAAAAATCCTCTGCCCACCTACCATCCTTATTGCTGTAGAGGGCAACACCATTCTCCCAGTCCCTCAGGCTCATAACCTAGGAGTCATCCTGGACTCCTCACTGTATCTCACCCCCAGCCCCCCATATCCAATCTATCTGTTGCCAAATCCTACTGATTTGACCTTTGCAACATCTGAATATGCCCCCTTCTCTCCTCTGACACTGCCACCCCTCTGGTGCAGGCCCTTATCTCCTGGACTGTTGGAATAGCCTACCTGCCTCAAATTTCTCCTCACTTCAGTTTGTCTTCCTTTTGGTTACTAAAGTTGTCTTCCTAAAGGGCAGATTTAGAAACTTAAGTCACGTCCAGGCACCTCTCCCATTCCCCACTCAATAAACTCTAGTGGCTCATTATTTCCTCCAGGATCAAATATGGTCTTCTGGTTGACATTCAGAGTCCTTAACCTCGCCCTTGCCTACCTTTCCAGTCTTCTTATACGTACATACTTCGATCCTATGACACTGGTCTGCTGTCTGCCTTCCAACAAGACACATCATCTCTGGGCTTTGGGCATTTTCTCTGTCTGTCCACCTGCCTGGAATGCCCTCCCTCCTCATCTCTGCTTACTGACTTTCCTGGATTCCTTTAAGTTTTAACTAAAATCCCATCTTCCACAGGAACCTTTTCTCAACCCCTCTAAATTTTAGGTCTTCCTTCTGTCATTTTCTATTTATCCTGTATGTAGATTGTTTGCTTTTTGTCTCCCCCATCAGATTGTTAGCCTCTTGAGAGCAGGGAATGTCTTTTACTTCTCTTTGCATCCTCAGTACTTATACAGTGCTTGGCACGTAGTAGGTGTTTATTGACTGAATGACTAAGATTGACAAAAAAGTATTCTAAGTGCAAAGTTGATGACAACAATTATTAAGTGATATTTGTACTGTCTTAAAGGTAATCTATGCTATATTTATGATATTTATTTGGGGTTTTTAGGTCCTGAACCCACTCTTTTTGGGAAACCAAAGTTTTCCTGCATGAGGTTACACTATAAACATAAAGAAACAAGTGGCTATTTCCATACCCTTCGAGCAGTGGTGCGTAACTCAGAAGAGGATGGAAAAGGTAATGAAAATAAGAGAAACTGTATCTTCATTCTGAGTGGGGATATATGGCCTGAGCTGATGGTTTATCCTGAGGCAGGATGCAATTTTAAAAAGGTCACAGATGATGTAGGACATGGATTATATTGATGTAATCTGTGATGGAAATTCTCAATTTGACCTTGCAGTAGAATACATAGCTGTAGACACATTCCCACATCCCCTATTTAATACAAACATCAGGACATATTATTCCTTTCGGGATATCTGCGCATGTGTTAATCTGTTAGCACTAAGTTGAAGGAGGATAGAGATTTAAGCTATTAAAGCTGCGTTAGGATTTTTTGGGACACCTTCTGTAATGATCTTTCAGTGTTGTTTTGGGACTTTAGAAGATATTTTTTTAGTGGGGATAAATTTTCTTCCATAAAAAGAGAATAACTCAGCTGACTAGGTAGCATCAAATGTCATTTTAGGTTAGATTGGCTCTTCTTCTTAAAGTGTACGTTTTGGAGGTTGACAGTCTGTAAATTGGGTTTCAGACACTCTTCAGTGCATTGCAGAGATGCTGCAGATCACCAAGGAAGCCATGGGTTTAGATGTACCCATCATAGAGAAAAAACTAGAGAGGTGAGTGAGTTTATTTTCCTCCCCCCTCCACTACTTTTTAGGGTTACTAGAAAAAAGTGGCAAGTATATATGTATGTATGTATGTATGTATGTATGTATGTGTGTATATATTTCTCAGGCTTCTAAAGAAGAAAAGAAATAGTAACTTTTTGCCTTTGAGCAGGGCTAGGCCAGCTGGTCTGGGAGACTTTAAGAGGCATAGTATACTTTCAGCACAAAAAAATTCAGGGAAATTTCAAAGCAAAATAAACTTTATAAGTTAAATATTGTCTTAGAACCCAAATTGACATTCTGCAAAATACCAGGGTTTTTACAGAATAAAGTTTGGGAAATGTTACTTTTGCAAATTGTGGGAGAAGTTTTTGCCCAAAATATCATTTAAAGAATGGAATATTTTTCATCAGTTTTTCTTAAGGCAGTAATCTATTTCAAAGGGTTAGATTTAGATGATCAATTTTTAACTTGTTGGCATCAATTATAAGTACTGAAAAGTTAAGTTTATACGGGTATCTTATTAATCCTAATTGGTGCTGATATTCTATCAGACTCTAAGTAGTATTTTAATAATGTAACATAATCTTTGCTTTCACACCTTTATGAAACTTTTTTCTCTTCTTCCCTCCCCCCGTAATAGTTGCTATGTAATGTGATTAAATATGCTGTTGCAAAAGTCTGTCTATATAAATTGGTTGTATTGATCAATATGATAATGATGATGAGGAGAATAGTTAACTTTTTCAATGTCCATTATTTTGTTTGTTCCTCTCTGAAATCCAGTGAAAGTTTTGCAGATCAGAAAACCAAAGATCAGATATAGGTAAAATGATTTGACCCTAGGGCTTTGGGTTCCAATTCCAATCTTCTTTCTACTTATTAAAATCATTCATCTTTATGAAATGGGCATTTTAGGTAGCTTTTTAGCGGTCTTTGAAATGAAATTGATTCATTCTCATAATAGAACTTTGTACAGAAATTCTTAATTTTTTTTCTCTCTGATTTATAGGAAGAGTAGTAAACCTCATGAGGACATCATTGGGATTAGAGCTCAAAACCAAGGATCTTTGGCTCAAGGAAAGAATTTTTTGATGAGCAAATTTTCATCTCTAAATCAAAAAGTGAAACAGACCAAATCCAACGTCAGTATTGGCAACCTACGCAAGCTAGGAAGCTTCACAAAACCTGAAGTGAAAGTCAACTTTTTAAAACCAAACTTGACAGTGAATCTTTGGAAATCAGATAGTAGTCTTGAAACTATGGAAAATACAGGTGTGATGGATAGTAAAGTTCAGATACAATCTGATGAGGAGATATCTTCAGATGACTCATTCCATTCCGATGAGTACTTTACAAATTCAAAGTGTGAAGAGGACAGGCAACTAGCTAATTCTTTAGAAAATGTGGGGCCAGTGGACTATGTTCTTCCTAGTTGTGGCATTATTGCTTCAGCTCCAAGATTGGGCAGTCGATCTCAGTCTATAAGCAGCACTGACATTACCATTCATGTTCCTTCTGAAATGGTTATGCCACATGGAACTAGCCTGGGAAAAGGGCTGCCGTCTCCCATGAAGAAAAGTCCTTCTGCTGACAATGTATTAATTGACTTTGCTAAGCCCATAGATGCTTATTGCCACAGGTTTGTACAGGATGCTGAAAATAAGGTGACACAGCCATTAGAAACTGAGTCTGCTTCCCAACAGGCTACTGAGGAAGGCTATCAGTCTACCATTGAGGAGTATAAGACTAAAGAAACCAAATCAGAAGGAATGAGAGAAATACCTTCTCGACCATCTAAGTTGGATGTCCCTTCTGAGACAGGACCACATTTTTTGTCAGTCGAACCATCTAATTTTGCTACAGCTCAGAAAACCCCAGGTTCTGTATCTAGCATACTTGAACTTGAAGCAGGAGCTAACCCAACACCTTCCCCTGCAGAAAGCAATGGTAGTAGAGCAGTCTCCCCTTTTGCAAAGATCCGAAGTTCCATGGTTCAGGTTGCTAATATTACCCAAGCTGGACTGACCCACGGGATAAACTTTGCAGTCGCTAAAGTCCAGAAGAGCCCAGCAGAACATGAGGTAGTTAATGTGGTAGAACAAAATGAACTTAAAGACATGTTTACCCAATGTCAGACTAGAATAATTCAGATTTAGCTAACCACAAATAGTTCTTCGATGGCTTGTATATAATCCTAAAGAAAATTATTTCATACCAAAATACCATTATTACATGTACTGCCTAAATGTGGGGATCAAAACTGCGAACTGTGTATTTTTGGAGGATGGTTTTGAGACTTTCTGAGCAGGATTCAGAATTTCTAAGAGCACTGAGATGATATTCACATTAGAATGTTTTGCAGGTAGTTTATACACTGGCACTAACAAACAAGCTATTCATTTAAATTCCAGAATCCATAATTTGGGGACACAATCTGTAAAATGCTTCCACTAAAAGGCTGGATCTGGACATATTTACCGAATGGGTAATTCACAGCTAAAAATCAAATGTTTTATCTATAAGGTACATTATGTTTATTTGGGGGATTTGTGTATTTTAATCCTTGTTTTAGTTGTGTGTTCTATTGACTAACAGTCTGTAGTGTCATTTCTGTGTTAGTATTTCTGTAAGGTAATTGGTAAGTTGGTTAGTTAAAGGAGTTTTAAAAGTAGTTGTTTTAAGACTGAGTTGAATGTGGAAAATGTTTGAGATGCAAAAAAAATAAATGATTGCTTTTGTGATTTTGTTTAAACATCCATTTCCCTATAAAGAGCTAATTTAGGAATACTATAGTCAGGAACCAGGTACCCTTTGACCTGATTATCCACTTGAAGAGAAGAAATTAGAATATATTACTGCCTACACATCTGCAAATGCGGAATCTAGGAGCACTAAAAGCTCGGGTGTTAAAATAAATCTGAACATACACAGATTGTGTGACCATGCACTGCGTGGATACCCTATGAGCCTTTTAAAGTGCTTTCAGGAATGAAGTGATAACTACTTTATGCGTATAATTGAGTATTTATTAAGAACTTATAAGTATGAATAGGAATGAAATTTGTTTCTAACAATTCACAGTAGGGATTTTCCCATGACATTTTCAAGATACTATAGAAAAAAGGAAGCTAGCTTCAAGACCATTAAAAATTATGGTTTCGAGCTATTACCCCACCATGTGTCCTACGGGCAGACTGCACGTGGTATCTCAAACACGTGTTGTAATTGTGGTATAGTGGCTCAAGAACCTTTCTTTGATGTTGAAATGATTATCAACTGAACAGATTATGTCTGTTGAAACTTTAATAAGCATTTTAACTTTTGTTATTTATTCATGTTTTATCAGTGACGTGGGTGTTTTTCGTGTGTCAATGAAATCTTGTCATTGTATATTTAAAATAAAGTACTATTGTATTTTAATGCAAAGGGATGTATATATTTTAATAAAAAAATAATTCCAAATTAGCATCCTGATGTTTCAGATTGAAAAGATATATGGGTTTAGACTTGATTTCAGAATGACAGGTTGTGCTATTAGGAAAACAAAAATGCTCTATTTCAACTCTGTCCTATTCTTTCCTTTCATTAATTTTCTCATTAATTTCCTTCTCTCCTTTCAGTGTGGTATCTTTAAATATTTATATAAAATTCTTAAAAGCTATTCAAAATCCAGATCTCTAAAAATAAGTGATTTTAACCCTTAGTTACTCTTGTGAAATCCAAATATTTGAGCCTTGGTAAAGCCTCAGTTTTTTCTAACAAGGTCGTCAGATTTCTGTCTGTAGGCCTTTAGAGAGCATCTCTACCAATCAATAAACCGTAGTAGCTTACATGTAAATGAAACTCCTAAGTGAAATACCCTGTGAATATTTCATAATATATTATTTTGGTGTGAAATCTAATCATAAACAATGGGTTGATTGAATGAAATGACAGCTGAAGAGTATTTTCTCAGTTCTAGAAGGTTAACTGACCATAGAGGTAAACACCATAGTATGTTTTTTTTTGTTTGTTTGTTTTTGTTTTTTTTTTGGTGAGGCAGTTGGGGTTAAGTGATCGCCCAGAGTCACACAGCTAGTGTTATGTGTCTGAGGCCGGATTTGACCTCAGGTCCTCCTGACTCCAGGGCCAGTGCTCTATCCACTGCGCCACTTAGCTGCCCCTAATAGTATGGTTTAAGGCCAACTTAGAGATTTGCCACGTTTCTCAAGTTCAGAGTTACTTAGGATAGTAATTTGATTTTCTTCCAATCAAAATAAATTCAACCAAAATTTAAATACCTATTATGCATTTGTAGATGAATTCCCAAAATTAACTAGGAAGAAAGATTTTTTTCCTTCTTGAAACAAGGAAAATGAAGCTCCCTACTTTTATGAAATGTGGATGGACAAAAGCTGACATTCAACACTTAAGATATGCATTGTGTTTATGTGTATGTATTCTCTCATTCAGCATTCAGGTTTCTTTTGACATTCAAGCTACATTTGATGAAGTATCTCTTCAGTGCCACCAATGACCTCTTTATGACTGGATCCAGTAACATTTTTGTGCTCATTCTCTATGACCTCTGCAACTTTAGACCCAGAACCCCTTATCTTGGCACTTCCTAGCCTTGGCCCAGCAACTTCCATAGCTTCAATCGTAGCTATGCCCACACTTCTGTTCCTACCTTTTCCCCAGAACCTCCAACAACTTGCTTCCTGAACATTGTCTTCTATTAAGGGGTCTTGCAACAATACATAAATTTATAACTCTGGTATTCAAGATCCTCTACAGCATAGCTTCCCTGTTTCCCAGCCTTTTCATAATACCATCCATTCAAAATGCATCTGCTAAGTGTCATATGCCAGGTGACGAGGATAAAAAAGTTTAAACTCCCTAACTAAAGGGATCTTACATTCTATTGTGGTTCAATAACATGGACAAAGAATTAAACACAAATATAGTCAGGTTTGACTGTAACAAAGAATAAATCCTGTGAAGGGGTTGCAAGTATTTGAATTAACTGTTCAGAATTACAATTTTGTAAAATATAGCAATTGGTTCCAGCCCAAGAGAAATATGCAATGTGAATTTGAAATAATGTGCCCACTTCCCAGGATTATTTGTACTGACAGCCAGCTGTAATTTCCAGGGAAAAGACATCTGGGGCAGCAGAGAGTGGGTCACATAGGAGATATCAAAAGCTAAAGTTTAAATGAAGACAGCAATTAAATAAGGTGCTTGTGGAAAGGCACAGAGATTGTATCTGGGAACAGCAAGCAGACCAGCTGAACTGAAATGTGGAGGATATAATGGAGAATAATGTGTGATAAACCTATAGCTAGACTTTCAGAACCAGTGAAAGGTTCTAATGCCCAACAGAGGAATTTTTATATTTTCTCTCAGAAAACAATAGAGCTCTACAACAGAGCTTTTTGAGCCAAGGAATGCTTTAGATCGGTCACAGCATTAGAGAGGAAAGTAAATGCAGGACTACTAGGAAGTTACTGCAGTAGTACAGGAAAGTGATGAGCATGAACTAGCATGGTAGCCATGTAAGAAAAAGAGGCTAAAGGCAAGAAATGAAGAATCTCTCAAGATGGGGCAACTAGGCACAGGCAAAGTGAGAAGAGTTCCAAAGGGGACTCCTTGTTTGTGAAACTCATGTTTCCAGGATTTGGCCAAAATATACTACGCATGGACACCTCCATTCTCATTCTTGTCCCCCATGATTGGAATGGCTGTCCCAAATACTCCTTTCAAGGTCCAACTCCTATTAACTCTACCATGATACTCCCTCACTACCACTTCTTCCCCTCCCCCATTTAAACTTCAGGTTTTTCCTAACATAGTCAAGAAATTTCCTTGACGCTCACTCTCCATATTTTTACCTTTTATCAGATTGTAGGGTGCTGGGTCTGCATCATCTTTTATTCCTGGCATCTGGCAGTCTTTTAGTTAGATACTTACATTTTTGTAATCTAACTTACTTTCACTGCAACCTTTCAGAAGGAAGGAGTATTAGTGAGAGTGTTACCTACCTCAGATACAGCCCTGTTTTAATGCAAACCAGATAAGCAATTAGTGGGATGCCCCATCTTAAAACAGGATACATATCCTATTTCTTCTACTGTACCCCATACCTTTATTATAATTCATCCTCACAGGCAACCAAGTTTCTGGCAATGAGGCAATGAAAGGATGTACCATACTCTCTTCATTGAGAGGTATTATCCAAGAACTGTTCTCATTTCTGTGGAGTGTAAAACAAGTCCTAATGTATCAGCCTAAGGTATATGGGACTGGTACATTAGCAAAGCTTCCCTCTTCAAGGCAATTCTTCACAGTGAAAACAAAATAAATATTAAGACTAGTTCGTTATAAAAATTATTATATCATTCTGTAAGGTTCAATGGGAAAACAAAACGGTTTTACACTGTCAATTAAGTTCTTCCAATGTAAATATTACACTTTAGGAACACGCCAATCTATAGCACATGCAAATTAAGTTATATCAAGATTTTACTGTAACTATCAAAACCAACTACCAAGGTAAATACCCAATATTCTCCAATTTAGCACACAATTAGGGGGAAAATAAAAGTAATAAAGGAGTTTGAGAAAATTATTTGAAAGGCCAAGTTGAATATGAAATGGAATAGTATATCATTGTTAGTTCTAAAGGTGTTCTAAACACACATACACCCACACATCTCACACCCCACTTGGCTCTAATTCTTTTGAAATTAAAAACAGCTCCCCTCAGTCTAAGCAAACTTAACTTTTCTGTTAGAATACAAGACAGTGGGGAAAAAAAGCTAGATTTGATATGACTCATCATTGACCTAGAAGTTTGCCTTTTACAGTGTAGAGTACAATAATGTAGTTATTCAAACTTCAGTAAAAAACCCACTTCATTTTCTCTATCCACCCTCCACTGAAACAGTCCCTGAAGACAAAGTGACAATGCAGTACACTTTAAAAAAGTATAATCAGCAGTATTACCAATATTAAATCTTTAATATCAAATAATTTGCACAGTTACCAGTTTAATTACAAAAAAACTTCAAAAGCTTCATAAAATCAGTAAGTTTAAAAGAAGGCCTTACTGAATACCATATAAACTTCAGTTGTTTTGAGGCATGATTTGGATTTCAAGGAAAAGTCATTTGTTTTGATACAAATAATCTACAAAACAATATGATATAAATGATATTTAAATTTTACAATAATTTTGTTGCAGTTTGCACATTACTTTTCATAATCTGTTAAACTAAAGTAAAAGAAAAAAATGTTTAAAGTTCATTTCCATTAACACATTTCTGTTGTTGAAGCCTGGTTTTTCGTAAAGACTCCAGCTGCTTTGCTCGTAGCCACCTCTCTCTCGACAGTGTCGTCTGACCAGCACTTAGAGACAAGAACCTGTGTGAAACACAAAAAACAATTTGAAGACAAAGTGATCAACAGACCTAATGTACCTTACAGAATCTAAAGATGATAGACCTGAAAAGGGCCACCGGCTCCATGTAATGCAGGCACCTCTCTTATAATTTAATGTAATCTAACAAGACTCACCCAAGGATGGCTACAGAGGAAGGAAAAGCTGGGGCTGGAACCCAAGCATTGTGAGCACAGGAGGATCCCACATAGTGGAAACACAGCCTGAGGTGGGTAAGTTTTTACTCTAATAGCCATATATACCCCAAAGCTCTTTTCAAAGATCATGTGTAGATTCACTTTCACTCTGGGCTTTGTATTTACTATTCAATACCTGTTATGGCTCATTAGTTTCATGGACTTTAGAATACAAAGCATGTATTTTTTCTTAACGGCTCATCAAAACATCAACTTTACCCACCATGACCCTCTGTAACAAAAAATATTTTAAAGAAGTATTAAAAAGAAAATTATTCCTAATTTGCTAAAGAGAGTGATAATTACCTAGCTACAACCAGCAATCGATGGAGGTCATCAGCTGTTATGCTTTGTGGGTCATTCTTGCGCATTTCAACAAAGTCATCTTCAACTGCCTGTATTAAAATATCCAATGTTTCACATCATGAGGAAGCTAAAGCATATCAAGGTAAAGTGACTTGCCCAAAGCCACATAAATCATCTTGGACTTAAGTATTTCCTCATCTGATATTTCTGACTTCTTACAAAATCATTTCCATGTCCCCACTCCATCCCCCCAATGTTGTGTCTCTAACACCTCTACCTTACACATAGTACTTAATTAAAAAACAAAACAAAACCCCAAACCAAAAAAACACCAACTATTAAAAAAGAACACCCTTTGCCACAAACGTACCTTGGTTACCTCATCCGATATGCTATAGTCTAACAATCGCACAAGAGTCAGATAAATGCGGAATTTATTCAAGACAGAAGGGAGTACTGCTGTGAGAAGACTGCTCATATATTCTTCCATATTTGGTGGAATT